TTGGCAAATAGATATTCGGCGGGAGAAGATCGCGGTCAAAATTGCAAATTCTGGGAACTTGAGGGGATCATAGATGGTTTTATAAGTTCTAAATGCTCGGTGAGATCCACATATGGCCAAGATCTAAAACAAAGCATCGCCGCGTTAAGAATGAAAGAAGTTGCGCAGTGGGAAAACCCAAAGGAGGTCAACGTCAATGAAGAAACTGCCAAAGCACGAAGGCTAGTCCAGAAGCAGTTTTTCCGGATATTCTCGGCGCTATCCCACGGTGACCCAAGGGCTGTCTGGTTTCAGAAAGGAAATCTCTGGCCGTGTATCACACCTGTAACAATCCTTGAACAGCTGCGGTCAACGTCCAATTCTGTTTTTGGGCCGGGTATGAAAGATGCCCTCATCGCATATGCATTAGCAATCACAGCCCTACAACGCTTCCTTCGGATGAAAGATGCCGTAGCTAAACGCGACCCAGGAAGGTTTAGTCAAGAGCATAGCAATCCAGGCCACATAAATTGGGAGCCAGATGCTATTCCAGACTGGTTGCTTTTAGAGATCGATGCTAATATGCTTGTACGGAAAGAACAAGTCACCGTTGCGATGGAAATGATAGCCCCGACATCAGGTTCCAACTCGGTCCTCCAGATGAATATGGGCCAAGGAAAGACATCGGTCATAATGCCAATGGTTGCATGTGTACTTGCTAACAGCCGGATGCTCGCCAGGCTTTTAGTTCCAAAGGCTTTACTGTCACAGACAGCACAGATTCTTCAATCCAGACTTGGGGGACTTTTGGGAAGAAAGATCATTCATATTCCATTTTCACGACGGACTAGAACCACACCCGAGCTAATACAAGAATACTACAGCATTCATCACGACATAATGCGTGCATCTGGCATTATCCTAGGTGTTCCAGACCATATCCTATCCTTCAAGCTTAGCGGGCTTCAGAGATTATCGGACTCAAAATTATATGAGGCGCGTAAAATGGTTCAGATCCAGAGTTGGATGGATCGCACTTGCCGAGATATCTTGGATGAATGCGATTTTACCCTGGCTGTTAAAACTCAGCTTATTTATCCAAGCGGATCACTGTTGCCAGTTGATGGACATCCTTATCGGTGGGAGGTCATCCAAACTGTTTTGAGTTTTGTTACGCATCACTTACGTGACCTTGCTCGAGATTTCCCGAAAAGCATTGACATTTTGGAGCGGACAGCATCAGGATTTCCGGTTACATATTTCCTAAGAAAGGACGTCGAAAAGGCGCTCGTCCTGAGGATAGTTGAGGACGTTTGCCATGGTCGGGTATCTTCCCTGCCAATTGAAGACTGTATGGCAGACCTTGGAGCTATCAGGAGGTTTATTTCTCAAGAAGTAGTTGACCATCTGGATACTGAACGCGTGTCAACACTTTTCCTTGATTTGCCTAAAGCCCGCAAGACCCTTTATATCTTGCGCGGCCTGCTGGCACACGGCATTCTCATCTTATGCTTGAAGAAAAGATGGAACGTCCAATATGGTCTACATCCAGGTCGTGATCCAATAGCCGTTCCATTTCATGCCAAAGGCGTCCCTTCAGAGCAGGCCGAATGGGGTCACCCCGATGTAGCAATTCTTCTTACTTGTTTGGCTTTTTATCATCAAGGGCTCTCCTTAAAGCAGCTTAGACAAAGTTTGCAGACTGTCCTTCGATCCGACGATCCTGCTACCGAGTATGACCGATGGACACAGGGTTCTTCGACCTTACCAGAAGCCCTGAGGCATTGGAATCTCCTCAACGTGGACGACGACAAGCAAATTGCTGAGATATGGACTCATCTCCGATTCATGGTTGTGGTCATTAACCACTTTCTGAACAATTTCGTTTTCCCTGCCCATGCGAAGCAGTTCAGCGTCAAATTGCAAACGTCAGGCTGGGACATTCCGCTCTTCTCAGGCCACATTGACCAGTCCGTTCCAAGTGGATTTAAACGGCCAGGGCTTACCACCGGCTTCAGTGGTACTAACGACAACCGAAGATTACTACCACTCACCATTAAGCAACATGATCTTCCAGGGCTTTCACATACCAATGCAGAGGTTTTAACTTACCTCTTGCAGGAGAGGAACCGCCAATATAATCTTGCAGCTTGTTCAGAAGGGCAGCGCCTCTCAGAAATTGACCTTCTCAGAAGATTGAAATCAATGAACATTCGTATCCTCATTGATGCGGGCGCCTTTATCCTAGAAATGGATAACAGAACGCTTGTCAAGGACTGGTTGCAAATAGACCCCGAAGCCCAAGCTGCTGTGTATTTCGGACTTGACAATAAACCATGGGTTCAATATAAAACTGGAAAAGCCATTCCACTCCTAGCAACTCCATTTGCTGACAATTTGAAAAATTGTTTGGTTTATCTGGATGAAGCCCATACTCGAGGTACCGATCTTAAGCTACCGCTGTTTGCTCGAGGTGCATTGACGCTGGGCCTTAATCAGACCAAAGATCATACTGTACAAGGTAAAGTTACAACTCCGTTTCCCGTCTTCATGTAAGCCAGGAGATGAGGCACTAACGCTGTGCTTCAGCGGCAATGAGGTTGCGACAATTAGGAACATCGCAATCAGTGACTTTCGTTGCGCCGCCCGAAGTTCATCAAAGCATTCTGGATGTTTGTAAGAAAAGCCCAGGAAGCTTTCTCGATTCCTCAAATGTTGTTACTTGGCTCCTTGATCAGACATGTGCCAGCAACAAAGATCTACAGCCGTTATATATTTCACAAGGTGCTAGCTTTTGCCACCGTACGCAAGCGGCAGAGACCTTTACGAACTCCTTGGACCAACCCGCGTCCTGCAAAGCGTACGTGAAAATGATAGAACAGCCGGAACAACAGATGTTAGAACAGCTTTATGAGCCTAGAGAGCCCCAAGTTGGCTTCTCAGCAAGTGAATTTGTTACACTACCGCTAAACGAGAAGCTCAAAGAAATTATACAAGAATTAAACCAGAGGCAGAGACTCCAGGCGTCTCATAACTCTGTCTTAAATTCAGCACTGGAGGAGGTCGAACAAGAGCGAGAAGTGGCTTACGAAATTGAAGAGGAGAGAGAGCTGCAACGGCCTCACTTCATAAAACCTTTAAGCTTCCCAGGACTACATCAGTCGATCCTTAAGCTTGCAAAGACCGGTTACCTGCCTAGAGGTGATGGCTACTTGAAAGTATGGACAGCACTAGAGTCGACGCAGTTGGGAATGAAGCATGGGATCAAAATCTCGACTATTCTTCCGAACCTTTATATCTCATCCGAGTTTTTAAGGACTGTAAAAATGCGGCCTGGTGAGCGAAACGATAGCTTTATGGTAAGCCAAATTCTACCTTCAAACCGTTCCGCGCTAATCTGTCCGCGTAGCGCCCCGTGAATTGGATTCTCTGGGGTATACAGTCCAAACTTGCCCTTGTCATCATGCCCGAAGAAGCGGAAGCACTGATCCCTATCCTTCGGGCAGAGACCGCGCCGCTTGTGCATTTACTCACTTACTCCGCACCCGTGACAAAAAGGATGTTGCATTTTAACTGCCTTAGCTACTATTCAATCCCACCGCTCCCTGCGGATTGGACACCGCCGCCCTGGCTTGCATTTGAGCTTGGGATATTTTCTGGCAGACTCTATTTTGATTTTCCTGAGTACGACTTTCTACTGAACAGTCTCGGGCTGAACTCTGGGAATACAGAGATCGCGGACCAGAGGAATAAGGAATCTAGGGTTAAGCAAACCAGTTCTAAAAAGTTTCTCAGTTTTCTGCAAGAGTGGATGGCCGTGCGCCGGCAAGGACAAGACATCACGCACACCCCGATGGGCTATGTCTGTCAAGGTTGGCAACTTCGCAAGGACCATCCATTCTTTAGGGATAGAAAAATATTGGCGCAGAAAACTTTGACCAACGGCCAATCGTCAAGTCATGCAAATTCCATAGTTCACAATGCCGATGAAGAAGAGGACTATGACAGTGATGATTATGACGAGCAAATGGAGCCTGGGGACATAGATATAAACGAAGAAGAGTATGTGGGCGAGAAGTTGGAGATGGATTTGAAATTGGAAGGTTGATCTGAGTCTAAAATTTCTGGAATCTTGACTTGATGTGCACGACTGAACCTGGAAAATGCTTGGAATATTTCCACTTGTGCGAGGAGAGTATGGAGATCTGAAACTGTTTGAAAATGCCTTTGTCTCCTGAATTCTACCAAAAAGTTTTGTTATCGGCGCAATTTTGACGTTGGATGCAGTTAAGAGTAACCACTTTTGATATTAGTCCTGAATATAGAGAACTAAGTTACTCCATCCAATCGAAACGCGGTTTCTATGTGCATCGATGCGCTCTGCTCTCCAGCCAAGCATGGATCCCATGCCTAATCGAAGGGACCGTAAGCCGTGAATCTTTGTCTTTCCAGAGCTGAACAAACTGGTCTGGGATAATCTTGGTTGCCTGAATTGCCCCTGGCATCTCGGGCCTGCGTGCACGCAGCTAAGCTTTGAAGAAAAAAAAGGTTTGGGCTAAAAATGGCCGTATAAAAGGATAGGTAAGCATATATTGACAGGGCTATCAAATATTGGAAGGATGCGACGATAGCCAGTCCAACGCTATTTCCATACTATTGAAAAAAAAAAGGAGGAGCGAAAACGACGACAAAAGCCCTGCTAAAGCAAGGTCCAAGGTCTAATAAACGGAGAGCTAAAATATGCTCCATAACTCCCTCCGTACCGCATACGAAATGGAAGGCAAAGGGGTGGTATCAAAAAGCTTAAAAACAAGGGCCCAGGAAATATGCAAAATATGGGATATGTTAGGAAATCTAAAACGCGCAATCGTATGTATGAATGGGTAGGGGAGTTTTTGTTCTCATCACGTTCTAGATATAAGAGTGTGGATTAATTCAATTAAGATATTCAAAAATATCAAGAAACGAACGCCCCGTTGAGTTGCAAAAAAAGATCCTAATTTGGATGAACTAGCCTTTGTTGGGAGCTAGATGAGCGGTTTATGTCCAGAATATGTGTGCCGGTGTTCGTCGATTTAGCCGCTGGGTCGACGGTCATGCCGCTCGAAGTGTCCTGATGGTACCCGTTACTATAAGGTACATGATTCAAACTACCGCCATTCTGAAGATCTGTAATCGACGGGTGCGCACTCTCTTCTGGACGGTGATTCGAAACTTCATGTCCAACACTGCCATTCGTAGCAATTGAATTTTCAGGTGAATTTCTATTATTCCGGTGCCGTCCTAACATGATTATCTGCCCGTGCTGGTTCTGATCTGAAGTAGCAGAGTTTGATTCGTCTCGATGGCTTGAACCGCTCGTCGTTCTTTGGGGATTACTGACCAAGGTGCTCACGATTCATCTGCCCGCCAGGTCCTCCTGGAATCGGGATTGGTTGCCAACGGGAATATCATTATTTTGGGACATAGAGCCGTTTCGATGACGCGAATGGACGGTATTCCGTCTCCCTAACTGCTGTGACCTACCGCCAGGCGATGGATCTGTGGAGCTTGAGTCGTTGAATTGAGACGTAGGCGGGGGAGGAGGCTGGTGGTTTCCTTGCGCTTTCCTTTTCCTTGGCGAGTTTTGATATTCTGAACGAAGGTGTGAAGCAGGATGGCCTGTGTTGGGAGAGATATTAGGGCTTTTCCCAGATGGTGTATTTGGATTAGAAGGCGGGACCCAGTGGTGAAAGTATATAGAGGGGGAGGATTGGGCCTGTTGCTGTGCTTCTGCTTTAATGGAGGCATTCTGCTGGGGGTGAGGAGTGCGTGAGCTGGTTGTAGCCGGTGCCCGTGTACCAGAATTTTGAGGTGGTGGTGGGATATGCATTTCGGTCGAGTTAATACGTGATAGAGATGGTGTTGGCTGAGTTGGTGGTGCTGCAGGTGTGGGGTTTGATTGGCCAGGTGGAGGAACACGCGTATAAACGTTCTGAGCTGGAGAAGGGGGAGTTTGCTGTACAGGCGGTCTCGCCACGGGAGGAGGAACAGAGCGGCTAGCGGCATACGGATTTGGTGGGATCATTCGATTATCTCTTGGGACTTCCAAAGCAGGTTGTTGTCCTTGACTTGGGGCCTGCTGCTGGATTGGTAGCGTTTGGGGAGCTGGTCTCGGCTGCTGCGGCTGATGGTATTCTTCCGGCTGCTGTTGAGGGATAGATTGCAGGTACGGGGAGGCTGGAATTTGCTGCTGGGGCCGGGATGTCGACGCACTCATTTGGGAGATATACTGTTGCGCCCACTGCATGTTCCCTCCGCCCAAGCCGGTGAAAATGAACGGTATCATGTAAGCCGGTACACCGGCTTGCAACGAGTCCCGCAGCATAGCCTGTTCAATCTTCCGCTGATCCAGCTTCAAGCTTTCCTGACGCGTCCGCTCTTCCTCTTGTCTTCTTCGATCCTCCTCCGCCTTAGCCTGGAGCCATAAGCGCGTGGAATCCTCCGAGTGCTGCCATTGTGATGAAGATAGCTGCGCTACGGAAGCAGGCATCTGGTTTATTGCGGGAAGGGCCATCGTCATTGACGGGAGATTTCTGTGCGCAGAGTCTGCGGGGGGGTCGTGTTGGGTGGGAGCGGGCGTCATCTGTTCGCGTCTGCCGGTGTACTGAGAGGATATCTTAAAGGTCCTAGGGGTCGAGGCGGCCGAGGGGATGTTCCGATACGGAGGAGAGGACGCCCGAGGCACGGACTCATTTGCGATGCCGTTCAGGAGCGGTGGTTTCAGTGTGAGCAACATGAAGTTGATTCTCCAGAGTGGCCTTTGGGCGAGCTTTCGCCTTGTTTCTCAAGAGACGGGGTGAAGGATATCGATCGCGAGGGGGTCATCAAATCGCCAGGATAGAGCCCAAGAACTAGCCTAGCAATTTATAGTATGTAGCTCCAAGACAAAAGCGAAGAACGAGCTGAATAAAGGGACAAGACCATTGATGTGGCGTCGGGCACTCATGGATGCAGCTGGTGAAGCAGTCAGGGATGCTGGAGAGCAGAGAGGAAGACGAAGATGCAGAGAAGGTGTTTATCGTGAGCCGTCGTCGTCTTCATACGCGGTGCGTTGCAGGCTGATTCCCACTGCCATCGCCTCGATCACGCAGCAGGTACCGTTGACGTCGAAACACATAATAATTTCTCCCGCGCACCCATGTACCGGTACACGCTGCGCGATCTCTGCGACCCCGGTCGCTTACCTCACCTCCGACAACTGCCTGATTCGTCGTGCGGCCTAGCGCTGCCCCTTTTGGGAAACCACCAGACCCGCCAACCCGAACCGAGGGTCCGCTAGGCCGCTTTGGGCCAGTACATGTGGCGCTAACTCGCTGCGGCTTGGCTGGATCCGGCAGGGATTGCCGCTTGGGCCACGACCGCCCTTGTAATTACAGTACCTGACACTGACACTCTGGCGCTCGGATGGGACTTGCAATGCTCCAACAGGGACTGTTTGAACATCTCTCCTGGTCCAAAAGTCTCGACACTCGGCAGTTCCTGCCATGCTATCCAAGTGCCGGACGTGCCTGGGCTTCTGCTCAGCCACCATGATTATCAGAGCAAATCCATTTACTACATTCCCTTGGTACCGCGCTGTCCATACATCCATCCATCCATACATGCGCAATAGAAAAGTCCCGAAAACGGGAAAATTTACCACCATGCTCGATTTGGCAGCTGCGAACTAGAGCCTGCGCTGATTGGTGCAATCCTGGTGGGGCCCTTGCAATCCGGGCCAACCACCGCTCTGGAAAGTCTAACCGTTCCGGGAAATGCGAACGCTTATGCATGCCTTCATGAATAATGCGCCAGCAGGAAGGTTTATGCGATGCACGCTAACCGCTTCGGGCCAGGAGTTCCACCCGCGGAGTTGACGCAAATCGTCTGATCTTTTCGCATTCTTTTTCGCTAGTTCCGAGCACCCCGGCAGCTCTTCACGACGCAGCCCCAGGGATCTATAAACAGTTTAAACGCCGGCACGCGGCATACTAAAAGTGCTTGACCGTACCCAACTGCAGCTGCTAATATGACTTAATTCCTATCAAACTTGGCCAAAAACTCTGTGGGCACGGTTGGGATGTACTTTCTTTCACGATCTCGGTTGGTTCCTCCAAATCCAGCGCCGTAGCTAATGAGCATATCCGTGCTCGTCGGGAGGGAGAACGGAAGGGTCATCGACGGATCGAGCAGCAAGGTGGTGCGGTCCGTGGCAGAGATGGTGGGCTGCGGAGACGATTGCAGGGGAGATTGCCGTGAAGGAACGGGCGGCTGGAGTTGAGGTGTTTTCGGCGCCGGTATTTCAGCCGAGTGCCGGGGGGTGTCTTTATTAGGGGAAGCAGCTATCGTAGGCGTTGTTGGCTCTGCACGCAGCTGTGGAGATTTAGGGGTATTTTCGGGCCTTGGAGACGTAGGCCGGTAGAGCAGGGATGGATCGTCTTGTAGTGCTGTGAGATATTTCATTGCGCTCTTCGGGAGCCCCTTTTCGCCTACTTCCGGTCGATATAGTTTTACCGCATGGAGGAGCTGTATGGGTGTGAGGCGAGGTAATTGCTGTAAAGTCGCAACGAGAGAGTCTATATCGTCGCCCAGCGATGAAAAGCACTGAAGCCATTGCAACAACTCCACAACAGGCTCAAGATGCTTGCGAGCCGCTTCGACCGTGCTCTCGCCTGTACACGTCGACGACCCATTTTCGTAGTGCTCTGGCTGTCGGTTGTTTGATCGCGCCCAGTCTTCCAGCGCCGATACATTCATTCTGATTTGCATTGCTTTCGTGCGCGCGAGATACCGTCTTGTTGTCATAATCCGATTGAAGAGCTCTGCGCCTAGCCAGTAAAACAGCTGAGACAGTATCTGGGCCGTAATGACCGAGTGCACATCATAAAGATCTAGCACAAACAGGGTCGAAGCAAGTAAAGACGTGATGTTTCGTGGAGAGATTTCTGCTCGCCGCTTGGGAGAAGGCGGCCTCATTCTTTTCTCCAAGGGCTCGGGTTTAACTTTGGACTTCGACCGGAATAGTTTCCATTCATTTTGGAAATGGACATCTTCAAACCCGGGAATAGTCTCATGTTCCAGCATTGCGTTATCGAAGAACTTATCCATCCGGCGTTCAGCATCTCGAATAACGAGGATAAAAATATCATTGATGAGTTCTGCAAGATGGAGTTGAAATTCGACTGTTGAGGATACTAACTCTCCGTCTTTCTTGAGATAGTGAAGTAACAACGTAGCATTCGATATCCAGAACGCCAGAATTGTCATATCCCACTGATGTTTCTCTACCACTTCGTTTATCCTATCCGTTGCGGATAGTAGCAATGTCCCAAGAAGCTCTGGACTGGCATGGTAGTGGGCGTACCGAGCGCAAAGGAATAAAACGTTTGCAGGAATGGGCTTCTGGGACGGAGACCGCTGCGGCGTCATATTGGTAACCACGATATCCAGTATCTTATCCAGCTCATTTTCCTGGAAGACGAACATCTGATCGTGGAGACAACGATCCCAGACAAATTCTTGCTGGTCTTCGAATTCATCAGGAGACTACAAGAGCAAAAGGTCAGCCAAGCATAACAAAAACCGTGAACATATGAATGCAGTGCATACATCAAGCTTCTCGTCGAGTCCTAAGCTTGACAAATCAACTTCTAGATTCATGGCGCTTTCTTCCATCATCATTCTTCTTTTCATCTCATTTTCGGCCATTTCCTCCTCGAACCGACCGCCGAAACCAGAATCGTAAAAATCGCCTTCGATGCCGGAAGATCCAAAATGATACCCGTTCTCATGCAGATAGTTCGATATGTCCGTTCCAGGCTGCACAAAGTCAAACGCTGTGCCTCCGGAAGACGACCTAATATTAGGCGACGCCCCGTAGTCAAGCAAAATCTTTGCGATGGTTTTATGCCGATTGGTCATTGCCCACATTAATGCACTCCATTGGTTGCGGTCTTGCTCGTCAACCCGTGCGCCGGCCTCCAGTAATGCAGTCACCACGTCTTGGTGGCCCTGGCGAATGTTAGCTTTGCTTTATTATCCCCTCAACAGACTCGGAGAATCACATACAAAACAGCTAGCGTATATCAAGGGCGCCGTGCCCTCTTCATCTGGAAGATTAACATCCACATATTGACTCGCTTCCCCGTCCAATATCCTCCTTACCCTTGTAACGTCACCATTGCTAGCCGCCATGTTCAAGGTCCTCTGTAGAATATCCCGCTTCTGCCCATCCGACATCTTCCCATCCGCAGCAACGTCATCTTCATCAGCACCTTCCGTTTCCACATCTCTATGCGCGGCCTGAGCTGCCAGCATCTCCATTAGCCGCGCATCACTGTCGTCCTTCCCTCCATTTTCCATGTGGGAGCCTAATCGGGTCCGAAAATCAAGGTCATCATCATCATGTGTCGGGTCGTCAAGGGAGAGGTTAAACGTCAATGGCTTCGTGGGGACGGGGCTAGTCAGGAATTGCGATTGGCCTATTTCATATGATATGGACAGTTAGCACGTATGTCTTGGAGAAATCAACCGTTATCCACCAGCTTCTAAAGACGAAGCATAGCAAATAGCCCAATCCCTAGAAAAATGAATTCCATCAGAAACACCCCACCTTGCCAGCCATCATACATCTCCGTCTCCGCTGTGTAGATGGGCACATTCCGGCGGTCATCCAAGGACGTCGGTAGATCGTCCGGGAGCGTTCGCGGTTTCGGTTTCTCAACTCCATCTCGCTCAGCGTCATCGAACGCTTCATGGCGTGGGCTCGCTGGGTCCATAATATACGGCGCAAGGAAAAAGCAACTATCGGTGGTTGTCGAAGAACTCCATGAGGCGCTGAGAAACGCCGGGTGGTGGCTGAAGGGCTATTGGATGGCCATCTCCTTTGAATGCCTTGGAATCGTAAATCGTCACCACGGAAGCGAAATTGTAAAATGGCGGCGGAGGTAATACTTTGATACCGGATTCTTGTGTTCGGCTTGGTGCAATCGCGTTGCGGCCAACGTCAGAATCACCCTAGTTAATCAGCAGTAACTACAGAGTTGCTGGTTATCTTAACCCCACTGAATAAGTAAAGTGACAGCAAAGCAGCGACTCTCTTTGACTACATCCAACACAATATTATATGGGAGATGTGATGAAGGATCAAGGATCAACGCTCTTCTATCTCTGGTGGTTGATCGTGCTGATTATACGGAGTACATCGTTGTCTTCCAAGACGAGATTCCTCCCCACACTGCAAACACCAAACCGTGGAAGTTTCGCTGGGGTATCAAACGAGGCAAATATGAATATATATATAAACGGACGGAAGTCGAGGTTGTAACGGTGAAGAAAGGGATATGGGTTAGGAAAGTATCATAATATACATCGAAGCATTCGAGAGGAGCGTTTAGCGCCTGGCAGCGATAACGCAAGCTCTACCTAGGTCGGGCGCTCTTCTGCGCGCAGTTCAATCCCCAAGCTTTCGCAATCTCATTCGAGTTCCTTGCTCAAGGCGATGATTTTGTCATCTGTCAGAGATGCAATCCAAAGGCATCTTTCGACAAGGCCATAAATAGGTTCGAAATTATATTTAGTGCTGGCGTCTATTAACCGAAGGAGGCTTTTGACAATTGCTGCGGCAGTCCGGTACCGCTCAAAGTTCACTAACGGTTCGCCATCGCGGGTACTAGCGATTTGCGCCGGCTTTTGGGAATTATAAGTGAGATCTTGGACATATAAACCTACAATTTGCCGCGTATTAGGATTTCATCTGACCTGTGTGCTAATTATTTGTCGAAAACCGCTGCCAAAGACTTACCGACAAATGGTATGCAGCCCTCTTGTAAATTGCAAGTCTCCATTTCAGACCGCAGATTATGAAAATTTCGAGTGGGCTGAATTAAGAGTTCCATTTCCTTCAATAGCTGCTTTTCGCCGTCCGGAACGAGCTCCCACGTCTTAGTGAGCCTCGTACAGTCGACAGAACAAAGTGCTATGGTGATCTGCAGCATGGTAGCATAATTGCGAACCCTCCGCGAGTAGACTGCCACATGGATAAGTTTGGTAATCGTATTCACTCGTAATGTCCGGTTCGTGGTCATGACGATTTCTGAAAGTGCCCATTTCACCATGAGATTGAACCTTGCCACGACCATGTCGATGCCTTTGCGATCCTGGTCCGCTAGATAATTTACCCAATTAAGGGTCGTGTGTGACGAATGACTCCACTTCATATCAACAAGATCTTTCCAATCCACCTCGCTCAGGGCAGCTTGTTCAACAATGGCAAATTGCCGCGCAAGGAGCTCTGAATCGTATGCGAGGATAAATGGCGTATGGCTGGCGCTTGTGAACGACCCGGCTGGAGAACATGGAAGCTGAGCCTCCAAATTGAGGCGCAGCCTATCGGTATGAGAACGTAAATGCTTAGCACGCCCAGAATTCCTCCTAGAAGCAATGCCAGTCGGAGAAAATTCAGGGGTCAGAGGCTGCCTTTGCAGGTTCGGCGGGTGGGTATCCGACGTCCTGAACGCGTGGTTCCCTAAAGTCATTGGCGGAGATGGGGGGTCGGCGAGAGGATGAGTAGGGACTCCTAGCGTTGCGAATGACATGATTGGGGAGGCAATTTGTCCATCTTGGTTGGGTATACTATTTCCTTCAGCGCCATCAATGATATCTATTGAAATTTCTGATGAAAGTTCGGACGCATAATCTTCCATTTCAGGATCGTTGTCGTACGGACCCTCTTTTCGATTTTCAAGGGATTTCGTTCGGAGGGGGAGCTGCTGCATACTGTCCGTCTTTTCTACCATTTCGATCGATAGAGAGCCTTCAGTCTCCGTTGATGCTATTGGCTCCTGATCGCTCAGGTGTGATTGTGTATTTAAAACCATATCGTATGCTCGGGGGCTCTTCATCGACTCGTCAGTCAAGCCACGTTCGAGTAGTGGTACTGAACAGTAGGAATCTTCGGACTCAGCGAATGAGCTAATTCGTATACCCGAAGTACTTGAAACCCTGCGCAGTAAATTATCAGATCCAGTAGCCGACATGCCTGATGTTTTGAGCATATTTCTCTCCTTAACATGTACCGCTGGATGAATGGGTAACTGCGGCTCCCATTTGCCTTCCAACTTCAACAATGTTGACTCAATACCCCCATCATCATCGTCAGGAATCTTTGCAAAGCCAGCTACAGTAGCCTCGAAAGTACGTCGAATATTTCGCGGTTCATCTAGAGAGTAGCGCTGACGGCGGGGGCCTGAATTCGCAATACCATCGTTAAAACGGGTTACGTCCGCCATCTGCAGCAAGGAGCCAGCCATTGAACTTGTCTCCGTTAAGTCGTCAGTGGATACTGCTTTGCCCTTAGCCTCTAGTTCCAGGCCATGTTGCATCTTACGCAAGTCCCCGCCCGGTCGCCGACGAAGCATTGGGCCACGACGCTTCAATTCAGATGCATGAGAAAGCTCAGAGCGGTTCATGAGATCGATCTCGAAAACACGACTATGTTTCGTCATTACACTTTCATGAGACGCATACTTGCGCAATCCACGAAACGGCTTGTCATCTCCAGCACTATCAGTACCGTAAAACAACGCGGATTGTCGCTTTGATTGTTGAAACATGGGCTCAAACATGTCCCCAAATGAGTCTCTATCCAATGGCGTATCACGGGTCGTTGTTAGGGGCGCCAAAGGCTTGGGACCTTGGTCATGTCGTAGGGAATGGTCTTCAAGGAGCTGCGAAGGGATATATTTTGGGGCGGATAATGATATATGTAGCCCACCTGACATGAATGGTGCACCTGTACGTGTATCATCCACTATAACAATGGATTTGCTTCCGGTCGTTAGTTGACTAGGTATGCTGTCATGTCGTCGGGCCGTGAGATAGCCTGGCTTCTCGTGTAGATCAGCAGAGGTACGTCCCTCATTTTCCACGTCAGACAGAGCCGTTGTTTGGCTTATTGAAGGGCCCGAAGACTCTGCTTCCTTCAAGACTTTCAGATAAGACGAATATGCTTCCTCGCAAAGGAGATCGACGCGCGTGTTATAGCATGAATGCATTCCTGTTTTCACCCTATAGCCATTGGGACGGAAAGAAACGTTCCTAGGCAAAGGCGACGTTTTGCCCCGTGATTCTGTGGAGTTAAGTCCACGAGGATTCCCATGATTCCCAGGTGGTCGGTTCTGAAGCGCTCGCCGAAGCGTTCCAATAAAGTTTTTCATTCCAGGTCCAGGAGGTTTGGGTCCGTCTGACCGGTTTGTTGGATCTGATTGCCCAAATCCCACTGGCGGGACCTCGAAGTTTGGGGACGGTGGGCCTAGAGGGAGTAGAAGAGGCTCAGGAGGTCCGTATACGTTCCCCCTGATGATATTCTCATTGTGAGACGACATCTGGCCCAGAGGCTGTCCGTGAGAGTCGAAGTTTGAGAGTGGCAGTGGTGCCCGGTCATCACGAACTGAATCCGAAAAACTACCACTCCGTTTATGGGAATGCATTGGCCGCCGCCAAATTGGGGGCATGGAAGGAAAATTGAACTGTCTAGGAGAAACTGGGGACGAAAGCTTCGGAGAAGCCAAAAGGACGGGATGCGGTGACTCGCCTTGGTTAGCATGGAAGGAGTTTCGCTTCGTAATAATTTGCGGTAACGAGCATGAGGTCGCGTGGATTGTGCTGGGGCTTATGGGCGACGTTTGCGCCTCAACGACTGGCTCGGGCGCTTTTTGATGTCCACGGGAATCCCAAGCTGCAGGCAAGAACTGGGCTGAAATAGCGGGCTGCGCATGCATCGCTAGGGTATGTTCATACCCCCCTAAATCTCGAGGACTCAGTTCTCCATTGTTGCTGCCCTCCATGCCACCAGGGACGATAGGGTCATCAGCATCTTTTCCGTCTGCTGATTCCTGGCTTTCCCAGTACAGAGCGCATCTACCGTTCCAGCATTTCTTCAAATCAACTAGAATTTTGAGATCGCTTTTGCTATTTTTGCTCATACGTTTTATGTTCTCATACATTTGGTTAAGTTTGTCGCAGAAATGAGTCCGTAGATCACGATTTGGAACAAAATCGTCGGTAAAATAGTTCAAAATCCAATGTCTCAGGGCAGCGAAGACGCGAATTCGAATAATCCTACCATCGTCTTCCAAGCGGTTAATTGCCCACTCAAGCCTTGCCATTAATAATGAGAGCAGATTCGTGTGTGAGAGGTAGGAACGGAATGTCAAAAAGAAGTCGGATACCAGTTCGTAGTCCATGAAAGAATCTGACGAAATTTGGGCGACAATGCGTGCAGGAGTTGCAGCCGTAACTTGTTTGGTCCCTTTTGCATACCGCACGACCGAGGGATCATCCATAATAGTCAACAGGGTGTCAAAGGCAGACGGCTCAATAGGCTCCTTCAGTTTGTAGAAGACACTAGACTGTGCCGGAGAGGTGTTAACTCCACTAAAAGCACGAGACGAAGGAAATAGTGGTGGAGTATAGAGAGATGGGCCGGTTGACACTATCTCGCTAGGGATGGGCGGTACTCCAGATCTGTCAGTTTTCATGAATGTGGATGACCGAAAATTATCCGATACTGAGGTTCGAGTGTACGCTGAGCTGCGTAGCATGGGCGTCCCTCCTTGCGTAAATCTAAAACCTCCAAGTCTATAATGAGGAATCGGTATTTCTAACGAAGGAATTTCGGTTTTACCAGGCGATTTAAACTCTTTCATATCAGGTCGCTCAATCACAATCCTCAGCTCTCCGCGGCGCTCGGAAGGAGAAGGATGGAATTCGTCTCCGAGTGTAGAAAGCGAATGGCGTCTATTCAAACGCGGAGCAGAGTATTCTGCGTTGGGAACGCCATCTTGATAATCCATACTGCTCCCTCGAGCATAGAGTGGCCATAAATCAGGCGTTTGTGAGTTTGACCAGAAACTATGTCTAGCTTCTTCAACTAGCGGGGTTGACTGCAGATTTTTCTGGTCGTCAGCCAAGCAGGGTGATTGGGAGTGTGCGCGAGAATGGAAGGCTTGATTAGCGATAGGAACAGGTCTACGGACAGTCGTAATGCATTAGTATTGATCAACGTCTTCAGAGCGCATGTGGGCGCATACCTTAGGTATATCTTCCCATTTTGACCTACGTTCCCAACGGTAAACTGCCTTCCCTCCCGGACGCCTTGCGTATTTTTGGACTCGGATGTAAGGTCTTTGCTGCGACCTCGTCTCGGTGGCCTTCGGTCTAACAATTGGCTACTCTTTTCCCCGCGGCGGAGTATATTGGCGGCTCCCATGACGGCGGACGTGTGAACTCTAGGTATGTTTTTGCTTTGGGCTACCGAATGCGATCGACGAAGGCCAAATTTGCCCATGCACACCGGATTTTTGCCAGGAGATTCGGGTTCCGTTGCGATGCGCTCATGGGCGACAGGTGACAAGGATCGATTAGGCTGACGAGAAGGCATGCCTCCCTTTTCGAGCGGAGTACTTCGATTCTCCATATTGACTGTCGACATAGTGATGCCAGTTTGACCACAATTGGCTCGATTCCAGAATTCATGAACGCCGCATCAGAACGTCGGTACACCGCTGCGTGTCCAGCAAAGAAGAACTCCAAAGAAAACAAGGTAGGACGAAACGCGAAACGGATCAAAATATCACATAGTCGAATAGCTCGTGCGACCTATCTATCTTCACGCGTCAAGATCAAGAGCTGGCAGCCTTGTATGGAGAAATTTCAAAGTAAACAACAAAAATTCAGACTTTTTGGGCTTCCGGTAAAGCTTACCGGAAATCGGAGCGGCACGAAAAGAGAATCATCATACGGAATATTATTGTTTGAGAGGCTGGTGGAAGAGGGGCCGGTGAATGCCCCTTCGCGCAGGAAATATCAGGCAACCGAGCCTCCGGTAATGCTCCAAAATCTTCCACGGTACCGTTCCTCGTGGGTGGAGGATCTGAGGCTGGACTGGAAAGGGGTAAGGAGCGAGGTCTCTCAACGAACGGGCTCTCAAAAGTCTTTAAATTGGAGGAGGTTGTCCTGAGGAAAAGGCTGCGAAAAGAGATAACTAGCACAAGCGCAGACTATCGGAGCGGCTTTCAGCTCCTCGTAGTTTCATTCCGCTCTGAGTGCTGGTCATAGACGCGACCATAATTGCTTTTCTGTCCAACGACACATGCTTTCTCGGTGTCGGAGTCGTAAGGTTGCCCAGCCTCAGCTAACTTCTTAGCTTGCCCAAACCCAACAGCAGCCATTCCCATCAGAACCACCCCGATTTGCCCTGTCTGTGTCCGATTTCTGGTTGGGCCAATCACCATGGATCATCTCGCATTCGCTGTCGATTATTGGCTCGTGGCCGTGGACGAAGGAAACGAGGACGAAACAATGGGGTGCATGGCGTCAGAGACTCGAAAGACCGGAGTCATGACGCCGAAGAGACGAAAACAGGATGAGATCCTTGAGATCACGCTTCATGAGATCAAAAGATTACAGATTAAGTGCATGTATTTACAGGCATGCGATCGGGTGTCGTCTGCTCGATTTTAGATGAAAACCTGGGGGTCTGGTCCTTGGCATGCGAGTTGATCCACCGAAAAAGCGCTGCCAGTCGTAAGTTTAACGCGTGCATGCAGTGGAGTCGAGAGGGCAAAGTAGCCCCAAAAGCTCCCACACGGAATGGACAGCCGGGTGGATAATCTCTGATAATGATAATAGCAGGCTCTGGTATAGACAGGGAACAAATCTGATGGGGAAGAGACCTGTTCGACGGACGAAGTTCCCTGTCATGACCGGAGAAGGGAGCGAATCATTTGTTCACGGTCCGGCTCGCTTGTCACTTGATCTTGACTCTGTGATCTCAAGGCTTAGTTACTTTTCGTCTGAAAGCAAAAATGGTCAACGGTTTTGTCGGATGGAGCACTTTGCCCCGCTGCTGAACCCTCGAGGACGCGCCCAGATCGAGGCCGGCATCCTGGCAAACTGTCTGAGCTGCCTTGAAGCTTTGACGGTAATTGCATGCAGTGTCACAAATAATTCGTAAATATTCATCAGGAAAACCAGATATGCTGAAATGCCGTCGGATGGCAGCTGTTTCATGGCGTGCAGTAAGCTTCTTCATTGCCACCAAGCAGGCAAAGCTTTTCGATCCCAGTCAAGTTAGTTCGACAGCCGCATCGACTCGATCACGGTCTAGCCAGATGCTTGCAGGCATCCAGCTCGCCGCCGCTCTTTGCTTTGACGTTTTTGCTCGCAGGCATGGATGTCATCTGTAGACTGTCGTTTGTTGACCGGGGAGAGCTGTGGTTGAGCCACGGCGGGGTTAAAAGGCGGTGAACGGGGCCGGCGCACCAATAGCGGAGCTTGCTGGAGCCCTAAACCCTACCCTTCCGTTTCGGGCCGTGAGTCATGCAGGCTCAGCGAGCTGGCTGGCGGAGGAACTGAAGAAGTTTTCCTCTGGACGCCCTCGATCTCAGGAACTCATAGCTTACTACTGCAAACGGCTCTGCCTTCTTCTTTTCCAGCAACGACATCAATTGACCCTTCTCCAGCTTCGTACAACAACAGACGACTCCACAATGGCCAACAAGGAAAAGGTCCTGCTTGCTTACTCTGGCGGATTGGACACCAGCTGCATTCTTGCCTGGCTTATTGAGCAAGGCCATGAGGTCGTCTGCTTCCTTGCCGATGTAGGCCAGGCAGAGGATTTTAAAGAAGCAGAGAAGAAGGCTCTCGCAATTGGCGCAAAGAAGCTCGTTGTCGAGGACTTGAAGCGTGAATTCGTCGAGGATCTCTGCTTCCGTGCCATTCAATGCAATGTGAGCCGGTTGAGTATATGCTTTCAGAGCAACCCCGTTAGACTAACCAGTGCTACTAGGCTATCTGGGAAGACCGATATCTCCTTGGGTAAGCTTCCAACTGAGCGTCTTGCGTGTCGGCAATCATTGCTAACTTGAAGTAGAACCAGTCTGTAAGAAAAGTCCTTTGAAACGAGGGTCGAATGGAAGCTCACACTTTGGAAAAGTGCCCGTCCTGTCATCGCGAGAGCTATGATGCGTGTTGCCAAGAGAGAAGGCTGCGGTGCTGTCAGCCATGGTGAGCAACGGTGCCCTGCACAGTCCACGCCCCCCTGTCTATGCGGTCATGACAAGTGCTGATGATTTGTCCGGGGACAGGTTGCACGGGTAAAGGGTAATATCCTTCGATAAACCCCAAAATAGAAACGCGCAAGTATTCATTGTTGAGATTACAGAAACGATCAAGTTAGATTCGAACTCGCATTCTACGCTATCCAAGTGAGTATTTCGGTCTGAGTTATCGTAACAAGAGACCTGAGATACTGATCCGTTTAGCCTTCGATTAATGTCATCGCCCCTTGGCGGCTTCCTGAGTTCTACGACCGTTTTGCTGGCCGTAATGATCTTCTCGATTATGCCGCGAAACATAACATCCCAGTCACATCTACAAAGGCAAAACCATGGTGGGTTTGTCATATTTTTCCCTACTAGAGGATATGCTAACATATATGTGAACGTACAGGTCCATGGATGAGAAGTAAAGAATCCCCGTTTGTGATAGCCTTATATTAGAGGTAGCTCGACTGATGCCCCCGTATAGCCTCGCCCATTGTTCCTATGAAGCCGGTATTTTGGAGGAAGCGGACGTGACTCCGCCAGACGATATGTGGAAATTGACTGACGATCCACGAAATGCCCCAAATACACCCGAGGATGTCACCATCGTCTTCGAGAAAGGTTTGCCAGTTAAAGTTGTCCTCGGATCCGACCCCAAATCTGGGAACGTAGTCACCGACTCATTGGAGCTATTCACCACTCTCAATGAACTCGGCCGTAAACATGGTGAGTTTGGGTTGCGGACCCGGTTTACCGGTAAATCCCCGTATTAACGATGTCTCCACAGGAATTGGTCGCATTGACATTGTAGAAAACCGATACATTGGTCTTAAATCCGTAAGTTCTCCCTCCATGATCCAAGGCAGCCAACGACTAATCTTCGTTCCCAGCGCGGATGCTAGTAAGGAACCCCTGCATTGTCCGATTCAACGTATCTCCCAAACGCGTAAGTTTCCAAATAGACAATTGACCACGTCTGCCATCTAGTGATTCCCCCGCGATGACCATTCTTCGCCTTGCCCATCTCGACCTTGAAGGCCTTGTCCTTGACCGCGAAGTTCGTCTTCTCCGTGACCAATTTGTCACTATTACTTGGTCTAAAATCCTCTACAACGGGTTGTATTTCTCTCCTGAACGCAAGTTCATCGAGCAGAGTATCATTGCCAGCCAAGACGATGTCAACGGCCAGGTCAGACTTCGCTGTTACAAGGGCTCAGTCAGTGTTTTGGGACGAAGCTCCGAGACGAGCAAGCTCTATAGCCCTGAGCAGAGCAGCATGGACAGTCTCGAAGACTTCCAACCGACAGATACCACCGGATTTATCGCTACCCAGGCCATCCGTTTGAAGGCATATGGCAACGCTGAAGCCGCCGCTGGCATCGATCTTAGTAAGTCCTAGAGGGCAAAGAAGGGTTTCTGTTTCGGATCTCTCGATAGAAAATTCAAAAACGTAAAGTCATTCAGCTTGGCATATTTCGGAGTTCTAGCAGGGCGGGTTTCGGCTTGATAATGAATAAAAGTCGCCTTCGATACCAAGTCTACCTCCATCCTTTACTTCTTCACCTCCAATATCCCCATTTTCGGCTTCCGTAAAGGTGCATCTATTCGCCAGGGTGGTTAGGAATATGCCTTGAACTACCAGCTTCGTACGATTAATTTTGCATTTCATGTAGCCTCGATTGAACTTCCTCAGTTGACTTTATGAAGCCAAGTTTGTAGTTGGTAGCCGGAGCCAGTTATTTCCTGCTTATGTCATCATTCTCTATTGATCACTTGTTGACGAAGAGGTAAATGGACTTTACAAGGACCTCAGTTACTCGCTACTCAGGATGCTGCGGCGCTTCCCAAGTCCCGTTTGACCGTTTTTTGGTCTGCATTTGCTCCCTTTGCAAGGTGGTTACTAGCATTCCGTCTCAATTTAAGAAAGCACATAGCTTTTCTAACCAACCTCTGTTTCAGATGAATCACAGCCGGCTTTCGCAAACGCGATCTACGTATGACCTTTTATCCGGAGCGCCCTCTTCACCGCGTACGCCATCCAGAAACTCGTTTCGGAGAAGCATTCGTGGTCATGAGTCCTCGACTAAGGCGGGTTAGTATCTAAGGTCTTGGAAGTTTGTGCTCTGAAGAGGCGATGACTCGAGGACTGATTTGAACTCTGACCCCTATAGACGTGGGAAATGAGGAATTACGCGTTGAGATTAGCACTTTGAAGTATGAACTTGAGAATATAAAGCAGGACAGAGATTTGGCCGCACTGCAGCATGAAAAGGAATTACGCGAGTTGCAGGCGAGAGCAGACGCCGATTTTAGAAAGGCGCAGGTTAGATATGTTTTTTTTCCGGTACCATTATCCTTTAAAACAATATGCTGACTAGTCAATTTCCAATCATCAGGCCGCGGAGAGTAGCTCCGCCAAAGCCCAACGCAAAGTCGAGTCGCTGACCGCAGAACTGAACCAATCCCGGGAAACCTTCGTAAACGAACAGAGCGGCTATGAGAAGAAGATTCGGCTCTTGCAAGACGAAAATCGGAGCCTACAAGAGGAATACGAGGATTCGATGTCCCAGTTTGCCGACCGAGAACGCCAGTCTAAAAACCAGATCAGTGAATTGGAGACAATTCGCTCCTCACTTCAAAAGACACTGGATGAATTGCGGAATGAACTTGAGGAAACCAAAATTGGTTTGCAGGCAACGCAGAACCGGTTGACAGAGCGTGAAACTGAAGTGGACCAGCTAGAAACGGAAAATATACGATTGAAGTCCGAAGGATCTGAACCTGAAGCATTAAATGTACTGAAGAGAGAACTTTCGGAACAACTTTCACAGGTCAAGAAACTAGAATCCGAGTTAAGACCGCTACGAAAGAGTCAAAAGAAGGTTGATGTCGTGGAGGAACAAAAAATTGCACTTGAAAACAAATTACGGTTAATGAGCGGTTTAGAAGCTGAGCTCAAAAATCTGCGCATACAGAATCAAGCTTTGGAAGATGAGCGCCAGTCTTGGACCAGTTTGTTACAAGTAGATGGACAGGATCCTGAATTTGATTCTCCAGAATCCGTCGCCCGAGGCTTGGTTGAAGCCAGGATTGAAATTGCGTCTCTTGTCAATAAGATCGGGACCATCCAGACCGAGGTCGCGGAAAAGACGGAAATTATAAACGGCCTAGAGACGATGCAGCAGAAACTAAAGAAGGAAATAGATACGCTTCGCAACAACGGGTCAGGCGTAGCCAATGTCGATATCCGCGCCAAAACCAGGCTGGAACGCCAACGAGTGTTGGCCATCAAAGAGGTAGAATACCTGCGGGCACAGTTAAAAACCTTTGATACAGAGGAGACATTGATGAATCCAGAGGAGAACCGGATCGATACCCAGAAATCCGAACATATCGCTCAGCTAGAGGCTCTTCTAGGCGAACATAGAGAAGAGCTTCACAAGCTACACGAAGAATTGTCGAAAAGGGAAGAAAAGACAACACCTAGTAATTCCCCGTTGATGCGCGGTACCAAGCGACCACTTTCTCCGGCAGAAAGCGACGCTGATGGTGAGCGACTCGCTGTTTTGGTCCGCAAAAACAGAACTTTACAAGATTCTCTATCGAAGTCCGAACAGTCGGTTGAGCTACTGCGCCGAGAACTTGACGCCGCGAAATCCCACCTGTCTTCGTTGCAAGCTCAGTCCCGAACACGTATTCTCGAACTTCGATCAAATCCTACGTCAGATTTTGAAAATCTGAAGCTTTCGACCCTCGCCACTTTACGGGCTGAGAATCGCGAGCTCCTGAAACAATTACGTGGAGAGAAGGACAACATCAAATGGGCTCCAGCCAGCGCTGTTGATAGTTTGCAGCTAGAGCTTCAAGAGACGAAGAAGCAAATTGCCGATAAAGAAAAGCGAATTCGCCGGTTAAAAGAGATCTGGACGGCAAAATCCTCTGAATTCCGTGAAGCCGTGGCGTCAATTCTTGGGTATAAGCTTGATTTCATGCCAAACGGCCGTGTGCGAGTGACTTCCATGTTTCATCTTTCGGCGGCTTATAGACATGGTGACGCGAGTGCGTCGGCTGATTCTCGAGGACCAGGGAGCATGGGCGATGGGGAAGAGAATTCGATCATTTTCGATGGAGAAAACGGCACAATGAAGATATCTGGCGGGCCGAATAGTCTTTTCGCACTTGAAATCCGAGATCTTATCAAATTCTGGGTTGAGGAACGGAAAGATATTCCATGTTTCCTCGCCGCGATGACACTGGAGTTTTACGACAAGACGACGAGGGCTGCTCGCATGTGAGGGCTGGCTAATATTGCATGCCGCTTCTGTTTTATTTTGCATGTTGGCCTCGTTACTGGGAGCTTCTTGGGATAAGCTGCGTTTAGATATAATGTGTTAAATATACCCATTGACTGGAAACCCCTTTTTGTATCTGCCAAATAATCTTGACCTTTAACCAGACGGAAACTGGCCCGAAATCTTCCAATTCACTCCTGTCAGCAGCCTTTTAAGAAATCATAAGCCATCAAGGTGTGAGCCTGAGCGACCTGAACAAGCTCATTCACTTCGACGTACTCATCCGCGGCACCCATATTGCCTCCAGAGCAACCGACGACAATGGTCGGGATGCCAGCAGCACGATACCAGCGAGTATCGGACGCGCCAACTCGCATGTTCGCAACACAGTCGCTCCCGGTTATCTCCTTCACCACCTTCAGGCCCAATTGCACGATATCATGCGTCGGAGGAGTGTAATTGGGATTGAATTTCCGCATCACCGTCAATTTCACCCCTTCCATCGGCTCGAGCAGCTCCTTCAGGCGGCTCAAGATGTCATCCGCCGAAACACCCAGCGGCAGGCGAATATCACATTCCGCCCGCGCATGACTAGGTATTAAATTCGGCGAGACACCACCGTTGATCGTGCCAATATTGACCGTAACGCGGCGCAACGTATCCGACTCACCCTCTCCAGACAACGACTCCGACACAATCGCCGCCGCATCGATCGCCTCACCGACATCCCGGGGCCCGTCCACCACCGTCCCCTCCAACGACTCAACCGCATCCAGAGCCTTCCGCAGATGCCGAACCGCATTCACACCCTTGTGCACATGCGCTCCATGCGCCGCAACCCCCTCCGCCTCCACCGCAATCCACACAAACCCCTTCTCCCCAAACCGAACCACCCGCGCCGACCCAACGTCCCCGCAAATCACCGCATCCCCCTTGGCCTCCTCCACATTATCCAGCAGCCACTTCGTCCCCAGACTGCCCATATTTTCCTCGTCGCCCGCCAGCGTGATCACAATCTCCCCGCGCCACAGGTCGCGATGCTCCGCCAGCATCCTCGCCGCCGTGATGGACGCCGCAATCCCGCCTTTCATGTCACACACCCCGCGGCCGTAGATCTTGCCATCCTTGTGCACGCCGCCCGTCGGCGGGACTGTCCAGTGGAGGTCCTCGCAGAGCGGGTAGGTGTCTAGGTGGCCGTTGAAGACGAGGCGTTTGCCCGGCCGCCCGCTGGGGATGCGGGCAACGACGCTGACCAGGCCCGGTGCAGTTTCATGGCGGGACACGTGTGCGTGCGGGATGCTCTGGAGTAGTTTGATCGCGGCGTCGGCGACGTGGGCGGTGTGGCCCGGGGGGTTTGGAGACGGGATCCTGACGAGGGCGGTGGTGGTTGTGATGAGGGCATCTTGATGCTTGGCGATGGCGTTGCGGAGAAAGGTTCGGGCTTGCTGGTCGTCTTGGGCCATGGTGCTTTTGGGCTTCTTTTGGTGCCAATTGTTGTGAATCTTGCTCCTTTTCAAGAGTGAACGTACGGGTTATGAAGGTCTACGGGGGTTTTTGCTGTGTGACTGAAGTCGGCAATTCCACTTCGACCAGGTCATCCCAGGCGGACTGCGTCCGTCTTCTTAGCCGATCATACGACGGTGTGCATCCAATGGAGACTAATATTAAGACTACCTCAATGCGAGCCATAGGAGAGCCCGGAACCCAATGCAACATGTGTAACTACGTCTATTCAAAGTTCACCTTCACTGTGCGACGCTTCAATGCTTTTGCGGAGTTCGCGGGGGACACTCGGATGCGCAAAATTAGGTGTATGGACAGAGTATGTACACAAAGGTAACGCAAGCAAAACGAAAGGGAGCCGACAACAGAATCCGAATTGCATAGCATCACCGAGAACCTAGGCTGCGGTTATTCATCGGGGTATTAACAGCTCGATTATAACAGCGGCCGTATTATTGTTGTCAAATAGTCAGATGCACGGCGGGCCGGAGCGAGACGGAAACGAATGTTGGCGTATAAGTACAGGATGTCAAACGTACAGCTCGAAAACCAAACGGGGCCCGTGGGATAGTATGCTAACCTCCCAATATTCCATCAAAATGTATATCCCAAGATAACTATTTGCATCCCACACCAGACATATGGCCAAAGCCGTATACCTACGCTTTTCCTTGGAAACGGATCAATGTGCCGAGTACCCAATGAATAACCTACTGCAAAGTAGCGAGCAACGCCGTTGCAGTCTAAAATGAGGGAGGCTGCAAAACGGGTATCAATCAAACAGCAACGTATCTCGAAACAGAAAGTCTTCGTTGAGTTGGAAGTTCAGCCCATGTTTCCGTCGCGGTCGTGGGTTCGGTGCCGTGGGAGCTCGCCTCTGCCGTCTCATCGGCTTTGCCCTGAGGAGCGGGCAATTGCGAACTAATTCCAAGGCGTAGACCGGTATCCTTTGTAATCGCATCAAACCTCGCTTCAACTTTACCCTTGCGAGGCCAACTGGTTGTGGTAGTGAACCGTGCCAGAAACCTATTCTCCCCGTCTGCCTTGACCTCAAACTCAGGAATTCTCCACACGACTGACGATGTTTTTCGCCTAAACGATGCACCCGTGTTTGGATGCATGGCAGCACCTGTTGCGCGAGCTACCGCACGGGGCTGCTTAGTCTCTTCGTCAACAGGAGACAAATCAAGGCTGACTGTCAAGAAAATGTTTTGTAGGACGATAGATGCCAGTGGACTGGATGAAACAAACTGAGGATTGAGGGAGCAGTTGATGATGACACTGGCTTGGAACTCTTCTTCATTCCATATAGGATTGAAAATCACAGGACAATAAGTTGATAGGTTGGAAGCGTCAAGGTGGATTTGGTATTTAAAAGCCACTGTTGGAGTTGGGCCTTTGAGGGAAGAGAGCGATACGCTGTACTCTCCTTTTCGGTCTTCGGTGGTTTCCGGAGACTGTGCACCATTCACAGTGGTATGGGCAGCCTCAGACACAAACTGAGGATTGGCGGCAACCCGTTCGAGGCTCTGGAAATTGTCTAGACGCACAACCTGACTAGCGCGAGAAGAGCCTTCTGTGGGATTGTATGCCAGAGCAAGCTCTCCGACAACAAAGGATTTAGTGACAGTGCCTTCCGAGACGAAAGCGTTGAGCTTTTCGACAATAGAGGCGTTGAGCCCAGGAGCTGATAGTTCTGGGTGGGATATTGGACCGGACATACTATGCAGCGTCTGTGACGAATGGATGGAAGTCACGTCGGAGATGGTACGGTCCTCTTGGGGGCTTGCGACCTGCGGGATTTGCGGAGATGATGCAGGCGAATGTTCTGGAATGGTCCTTGAAAGGATATTACCCTGAGTGTCGCTCTCAAGGGGGACGTTGTTTGGGACAAATATTGTATTGCGAACGTCGCGACGACCTCTCAGGGTGCCGGGGCCTCGGGAGAGACCTGATTGCTTTGCTTGCTAATGGCAAAGTGAGCACTATACTACCAAAAAGATGCCAGCAACTGCTTGCAATCACATACCAGTCGCAACGTACTTGCCATTTCATTCAATGCAAGTTGGGCTTCTCCTTCATCTTCTTGAATGGGTTTGTCGCGGATTGTCAGATTGAGACCTGGATCTTCGTTCCTAAAATACTATATAAGAGATCGTCATACTTCGGGTAGGAAGTACACTTACGCAGCAGCTTCCTGCTGTAATCTGGATATCTCGTCAATCGTGCTTGGCTTAGCGGAGAATCCGTCCGCGTCTATTGATGGTTGCTGGTCACTGTTAGTGAATCGATTATTAGGACACTAGTGGTGGGTCACACCTTTGGAGATGTAGGTCTTTCTTCATGAGACTCATTGGCTGCAGGAGTTTCTTGGGCGTCAGGTTCTTCAGGTATGGCATTCCCGTTAAGCACAGTGTCAATCTGAGGTTCAGTCTGGGAAGCATTTCCTGTGGCTGAGGAACCAGGTCGATGATGGGAAGATTGGTCCACGGATCGAACGGGTGATAAACCGTTCGGAGGGGTGGGCTGGTTCTCAACTTGATGAAAACTGCGAGAGGATTCGGTTCGGCGGAACGAAAAAGGGGATTTGAATCGTTTCTCTGGAGTTGCATGCCCAGAAGTCGGCTGTACAATACTTCGTCTTCGCCCCATGACCGTTCCAAGGCGCTTCAGTCCTCCTAATGGGGTATTCCGTGGTTGAGGTTGTGGATATTGTTGCGGTTGCTGCGGTTGCTGCGGTTGTTCGGCGGCTGGAGGTGTGTTAGCCGTCAACTAATTCAATTAGCACAACAGACGAGGGGAGTGTACCAAGGCTAGGTCTTGCGCGGTTAGAATGGCTAGAGCGTCGACTGGCCGCATCGTCATTGATCCTTGGGGGTGGTTCCAAGGGCTCCATCGGCGCAGTCTCAACTTCGGAAATAGCCGTGGCAGGGGGTTGCTGGGTCTCTAACTCTACGGTCCGGCCGCCGCTTGCCCTAAGTGCAAAAGACCTAATCTCTTCCGCTGTATCAGCAGTAAGCAATGCGTTGAGACAGCTCTCGGTCGACTGTCGATTGCGCTCGACCTGATCGGCTTCGTGAGTTTGAAACTGGGTGAGCACGTCTCGCAGGTGGTTAAGGCGATGCTCGTCGACCTCCTGTAATTTCTCAAAAACAAAAGGGGCCCTGGATTCCCATTGTGCTCTTGCCTCATGAGCAGCGGATGATGCAGTAGATGACTTCCCTGCCGCCTTTGGTCCCTTGTCTTTGAACTTGCTAACCTTCCTCTCAGCCGCATCCAGTGAACGCGCGAGATTGGAAAGGTCCTGTTGAATTCCAGACATGGCTTTCAGTTCTTTATTCCTAAAAGGATATTCCCTCAACGGTTTTTCGATATCCGCCTCAATTTGTTGTGCTAAAGTCTCATGGGAGTGCGCCAACGACTCGGTTGCGGATATTATGCGCTGCCAAGGTACCTCGAAAATTCTACAATTCATCAGTATCTCAATCAGAGTACTATCTCACGTATTCCTACCCCAGTGCAGCGCCCTGTTCTGGCTGGGGCCGTCGCGCGAGTTTCCGAAGGCCGAGGCAGTACGCTTCTTCGAGGCGACGTCGTTCCTGAAACTTGCTATGAGCGATTTTGAATCAGTTGAGCCGATGGCGGCTGACATACCTGGAGCCAGTCTGCGACATCCTGATTGATTTTGTTGATCAATTTGAGCCGATCGCCAACCACGGCGACGGTTTGGTTAGGTTTCAAGAGGGCCTGAAGTGCAAAGAACCGGGTTAGTATACACCACAGTTCACCACTTGGTTGCTCCGGAAGATCCCGCTCAGAGTCCAGAAGCACCTCAATTCAGGGTTCCTGGCAACACTTACTGCAAGAGCAGGATACTCTTGTCGTGACAACTCCATAGTGAAACAAACAATTTGTGCGCGAGCTGTCAACACCCAGCTTCCGCAGTCAACATAATGGCAATTCTCACAATTGGGGCTAGAAAGTGAAGAGCAGCAGAGCCACCAGAAGAAACGCGCACAGCAACACCAGGTGCAGCGAATGAATGAGTGCTGGCAGTTGTTGTGCTTTCACAGTCAGCGATGGATGTGATGATGACGATTTGAAAGCGAGGAGACACCGTGCCAAGACAGCCAAGACTGCAGCCAAAGTTACATTTTGCTCAGCAGTCACGTGCATGGCATCTTCTGGAGTTGATATCGGAGAGACTGAGACACAACGGCATTGTCTTGAAGTCAAAAGCGCTGATGCTGCAGCTGGTTTTCTTTGTGATGAGAGATGCAGTGAAGTTGGTACGCAGAAACAGCCGTTCCGCTTCCTCTGGCTGGCGATGTCTGGGACCTAAACGCTAGTGCCGCATGCATCCCTCACTGCAGCCATATTAACTAGTCAACTACCCCACTGCGGCCTCCATCAAAGAGACCCAGATGCTTGATAATACTGGTTCGACAGAGAAGCATGAGATCGCCCAAGCACAAAGGGCAGACTACAGCGTTGATCAACTACAGGAGACATACAGCAAGTGCGAAGTGATGGCTTCGGATCCTAATTGGAGAATGGACCTCAGCTTCTCCGAACGGCTGGCGGCAATAACCTCCATGTGAGTGGTCGAGGCTCAATGGATTTGCATGAAAAAAAGCGGCACCAACTAACACCATGGCTTGGAAGAACAACTGCACATCGCCGCGCATTCCCCTCTGCTGAATTTGCTGCCGCTCATTCCGAGGCAACGAGAGCTGAAGGTGAGGCCTATGCAAATGCTGCGTCCAGGGTCAGTAACCAACCCGTAATGCTTCCGTGCATCAGTGCTTGCTCATTTCCCTCTCAAAACCTCAGGATGAATATCAGGTTATTTGCCAGAAGGCAGTTGACGGATATGATAATCAAGAAGCGCGCCTTGATAGTGATGAGGACTATAGGCAGTGGACCGCCAGAGTTGAAACAGAGATTGAGTCAAGGCGGGGTGAGAAGATTGGTTCTTATCAAAAAGCCGTCCATGACCAAGATGGGCTCTTCTCTAGCATATATAAAAGCAAGAATAGCGACGGGCTACTCGTCGCTCTCAAGGTCACAACTCCCCATCTCACCGAGCCACCGCATGATTCAGAACGCGAGGCGAGACTGTTGAAGCGGGCTTCAAGCAAGCATATCATACCACTCTTAGAATCCTTCCACGAGGGAGGGAGCCGCTTTGTCTTGGTTTTCCCATATATCAGATACCACCTTGATGACCTCCTTCATCGAGATCAACTCACAACACGGCAGATTCGGTCCCATCTCAGGGACTTGTTTTGCGCGTTGGCGCACATCCACAAACAAGACATCATCCATCGCGATATAAAACCTTCAAACATTTTGCTGCGGAGTCTGGATGGGCCTGCGTACCTTGCAGATTTTGGCATCGCATGGTCGCCAGAGGACAAAGCTTCGGAACCGGCTGATGAGAAGATCATAGACGTTGGTACCACATGCTATCGTCCGCCGGAAATCCTCTTTGGGGATAAAGCTTACGGCACCAGCTTGGATCTGTGGGCAGCCGGTTGTGTCGTTGCGGAGGCAATCGAACCGGAGCACCCGCAGCTCTTTGATGCCGGACCCATCGGCAGCGAGCTAGCACTGGTGCATTCGATTCTCACAACCTTGGGAACCCCGACCCCCGAGTCGTGGCCGGTATGTAAACGCTTGTAGCATGTTCTGACTCGACGGCACAAGAAAGCTCTGACCCGTTTTCATTGACAGTCAAGGAACGAGATGCCAGACTGGGGAAAGATTGAATTCCGAGAATATCCAGCACGAACGTGGGAAACGATCCTTGGCAAGGCAACTTCCCTTGGCCGCGATCTGGTGAAAAAGCTGGTCAGATACGAAGCAAAGGAAAGGCTGACAGCCGCAGAGGTGAGTTGAATGCAGGAAGCCCTGGACTTTTTTCGAGTAGTGTTCTAACGCCAATCTCTGTCAAAGGCAATGACGCACCCTTTCCTCGAGATCTGAATTACCAGCGCGCACACCCGGGCCACCATGTTTCGCATGATTGTTGATCGATAATCTAACAATGCTCGGCCCGTGTTCCTGGGGATATAAATAAAACAGGCGGACATGTGGAAAATTCAGTGGCTCAAATGCAATGCGCCCTTCGTATTTCGGTTCCAAGCATGCTCTTCTGCCAGCTTTGCCGTGTTGACTTCCCCCTCCTGAAAAGCGTACCCCAACTTCATCGCATGTTTGCGGTCAAACATACCAAGACCGCACTCCCCGAACCCTGTGAGAAACCCGTCCAGAGTGTCATTGTCCTTGAGTCTTCCCTGCCCATGGCTGGTGTCCTGTAATCAATGATACACGGGTTCTCCGTAAAGAATGTATTTCCCCTGACATGTGCCACGGTATTGGAAGGGGCGTCCGTGGTACCTGGCGCTAAGCCCGATGCAGACTGGTCTCTGCCGTGTGATTGGACTACGAGATGAGGGAGGGTGGATGTTTCTCCACTCGGCACGCTAGTTAAGCCACGCGGTTGTTTGAAAGACAAACAATCAGAACACAACACAACCTGGGACTCTGTTTCAACAGGCAAGATGCGCAGTCTCTCGTTGCGTGTCTGGCTGATCTTCCCAGCTGCGAGTCTCGCTTTGGCCTTGCGTTCTTGGGGGCGCCGTGTATATCTCCTGTCTGACATCTCGGCTGTGAACGGGTGTCTCGAGACCGCTCCCGCTGGGCGCCTATTTATATCAATACGGCAGCGGCACGGAACTGCACGTAATCGTGACGGTATCCTGGGCAATTGGCCAATGAGGAGGGTGTCTGGAGTGATTTCGGGCGTACGGGAAACGAAACAGCAGCTAATTTACCAAGGTTACCGTAAATGACAGCCCAAAGCTAATCTCGTTTCCTTCAGCCTCCTGACTAAGAAGCCACGGCCTCGCTTCTCTTCATCCCTTCGCTTCTCCTCTTCTCTCTCTCTCTCTCTTCTGCCTTCTTGTCTGCTCACGATGCCGTGCTGACCTCGTCCACTCTTTTGGCAACCGCTACGCTCTTTTTTATCGCAGTGATCGGGCCCAATCCCCCGGGTTGAGCATGGCCTGATTGCTCATAGTCACTCCTTTTCTGTTATCGTCAGCCCACACCAGGCATTCCCTCTTTTGCATCGATACCAACATTAATCCTAATACCTCAGTCGAGCGTCGCCGTGCCTAATTCTGAAGAGCAAGGAAGCACCATTGAAACGCAAAATACAGTCGAATTGTTCGTGCGCGCTGGTTGCTGCCGTATCGCCCTCGCTCCGCGCCAACCAGCTCGCCGGTGTGGATCGTCGCCATCATGCATAATCACCACAGGCATCATGCACGACAACATGCACAGGTCGAGGCACGCGGGCCGCAACTGTTTCGTGACATTGAAATAATCGGAGGAAATATCAAGCCCATCGCCAACAAAGACGACGATGATGTGGAAATCATTTATATCACGGCCAAGCCAACCTTCGACGGCCCCATTGGCGGTTATTCCACCGAGGGTCGTGGACCACCAAGGACGACTATAGATATAGGGCCACCTGTGAAACATACCCGTCCTCCGCGCCCGGATACTGACGACCCAACGCCCACCAGGACGCCAGTACAAAGACCAACTCGAACTTCGTCTCCTGTGGCCACAACCGAAGAATCAAGCTCGCGGCCCAAGGCACCATCCACCTCCTTCGCTACGTCAACGCCTACCTCGGCCAGAGAGTTGGTGCCATCGACAACCAGTGATAACGGGATCGGGCTTGCGTCAATTACCTCGTCCCCCTCAGCCACCAACACAGCGGTAGCCTCACCCGGTTTGTCGGATGGAGCCAAGGCAGGTCTCGCGATAGGTATTATTGCATTGGTCGGGCTTATTGCAGGTGTCGCTCTTTTGTTCATCCGGAAGAAGAAAAAGACGGAAGAAGCGGAGGAAATCCAACATGAGAAGCCATTCCCCCCAATCCCGAGCCCGCAGCAATCGTATTCTCCACCACCACCGCAACAAGTCACTTCATCTGCTCCTCCTCAGTTGAACGTCCGCCCCATGACCCAATTTTCTCCGGATTTCACTGGACACGGCCCGAACAATATGGCAATGGTGAATGTTGCTGGGGTTGCTGGAGTGCGTAACCTCACCGGACAGCATAACGATTCTCAAAGCACTTTTGCGCCTCCAAGAACAGCAGACAGCACCTCAAACCCTTTCAATGATCCGGTTAATCCATTTGAAACCCGATCGGGTGCCTCTTCTCCAACTTCCCCGCCTGGCCCAGCCCCACAGCCTTTAAATGTACGCACTCCTTCTCCAGGAGCTTCTTCCATGCGAATGCCTAGCCCAGAAGGAATGACGACCGGCGTTGCTGCTACTGGCACTGCCATCACTGCAGGCTCCGTCGCTGTTGCTGCCATTACCCCTGCTACTGCCAATAGCCATAGCGGTAAACCACCAACTTTGCAGCACGTTCCTGGCCCTCCTGCGGGATGGATGAAGGACATGCCACCCCCTAGCCCAGCTAAGAGTTTTGAATCTGTTTCCGTCACTTCTACCACAGCTGCTGCAGTTGCTACGGGTGGCCCTGCCCTAACAAATGTTCATCGTGTTCAACTTGACTTCGCTCCCTCCATGGATGACGAACTTGAACTTCGAGCAGGACAACTCGTGCGGCTTCTTCATGAATACGATGATGGATGGGTACGTACTCTGTGGTTATCTTATAGTAAAAACTGGTAAACTAACTTCTTGTGAATCCAGGCCCTCTGTATCCGTCTTGACCGCTCTCAGCAAGGTGTTGCCCCAAGATCCTGTCTTTCTGCTCGACCAGTAAAACCACGCCAACGTAGTCCTCCTGGATCAGGCCCTCGAGGTCCCCCACCAATCGGTGGTGTAAATGGTCGCCCAATGTCTCCAGCTGGCGGGCGTAATTCTCCAGTTCCTGGGCCGCCTCCTAGCGGACCGCCACCACAGGGACCGCCCCGATTTGCACCACAGCAAAATAGTCGCCCTGCTTCTCCAAGTTCAGGCTACCGTCCGTATATCGCTCCGGGCGGCCCGCCAGTTCGATTCCCTGATGTTCCGCGCTCACTATCTCCTGGCCCAGGTTCTCGGCTTCCACCTCAATCGAATAGGCACCCTGGACCTCCTGGCGTGAATGGATTAGAAAAGCCGAATATGCCTGCAAATCAACGACAACGGAGCAACAGTGCTGCCAGCGGCAGAGGACGAGTTCCTGCTCCCATTCAGGGGCCAAGCAGCCTCGGCGCCTCAGTCCAAAATGTCAACTCAACCGACTCACCAGTGGAGAAACCCAGCACAGCTCCTTCGGACCAGCCAGTAGAACAACCGGTCAACGGGCTAATGGAAAACCCAGTTGAACAACCAGTGGAAAAGCCAGTAGAACAGCCAACCAACAACCCAGGGGAACAGCCAGCTGACCAGCCAGCCGAACAACCCCAGATCCCGGCAGAGCAACCGCCACAGTCCACCCCTGTGTCGCTCCCTCCAGTGGAGAGAAAGCCTCTGCCTGGCCAGGCGCAATAGTTGAAATGCTCCTTTCCAATGCACATATTGCCCCCTGTTCGGCCGGAATATCGCCGTAAATATCATCTGAATGTATTTAGATATGTTCTTGACTCCTGGCGGGACGAGCTTGAGACGATGAACTACGATGTTACTGGCGATACCCAAGTGAATTATTATCTTTATTTGCTCATGGCGTTGTTTTCTGATATATTTCCGATTTCCTCGAAAGTTAGTTTGCATATGACCTTCGACTATCTGCTGGATCCCCCCCCCGATCACCAACCAACTTTGGATCATTCCCTAAACCAACATGCTTTCGGCTCCCCTAAATTTGAGCTTCGCATTTGACTACTCTATTTTGAGCTTTCTAGTTTCAATTCTCCATGAAGGGCAAGCCACGCCATCCAGGTTAATCACCTACCTGCTGTACTCGGCGCTACTCGCCTTCTAGGAACCTTTTTCCTTCTTTTATCTTCTTCTCTGTGACATTGCGGTTCCAATTCAATTCCAATCAGAATTTTGTTGGAATCACCTTTTATTCTAATGCTCCCCTGCAATTTTTTACCAATTAGCCTCAAGGCGCCTTTGTGGCTCGCCCTGATCGTTGAACATTTGGGACCATTGCCTTGCGCCAAAATTGCCGTAAGCTTGCCGTTGCCCGTGACTTTTTGGGCGCAGTTGCATATCGCGGCAACCTATGTTTGAAGAATGATGGGGCAATATTGGTGATTGGAAACCAGATGTCGTTGGAAAAAAATCCCCCATGTGTTTTTGACAGTTCAATTGTATTTATCTCAATGAACGAATTGGATGTAGTTATTATCAGATCAAAATTGGATAATTGGACATTGATAAGTTTTTGATCCTCATGGGTGATTGGAGTCTATTGTGATCTACATATGTTCTTATATGGGACCGAAAACGGCCGAATGTATCCGTATTGTTATATATTTTCCGAAAATCTACATACGGGCAAGGATGCTGTCCAACCCAGAATGAACCTATAGATGCGGTACGCCAGCACTTGCAAGTGCCAAGTTGATGATGCTCACCACACCTTCTCCAAGAATGAGCCCCGAAGCCAATATGACAATGGTTGAATGCGAGCCGTTTATTCCCTGGTCGTCTTTGAGCTCTTCTCGTCGCCCAACAGAGTCTCCTTCGTGTCCTGGCGTTTCTCCATGATCTTGGCCCTGCAATGCTGATTGCTGCCGAATTTGCTTTGCTTTTTGACGCCGGCGCCACCAGAACTCGATCCCGCCTCCGATGGCTCTCGCCAACGTAAACGAGGGGACGTTATACATCCCCACGGCGACGGCAATGCCACCGGGGATCCACGCCCTCCAGGAAGGAGCGGAACCCCCTCGCCTCATCCCCGCAGCGCCGTATATTCTAACAATAGTGGTAACGGTAAAAATAACCGCCGCTATCCCCGAGACCTGCCATGCCATGTCCGGCAGGCCTTGACCCGTGACAAATCTAGCGGTGAAAATCCACACGTATGCCGTGGGAATCTGGAACATGTCCCCCGGAATTTCGTACACATTGATATATAAGCGGTACACGGCCACTGAAATCACAGCACCGAAAAGGCTGCCTATTAGCTGGCCGTAAAACTGTGCTTTGGGGCTCGCGCCCAGGATATGGCCCGTCTTCAAGTCTTGCATCATGTCTCCAGCTTGCAGGGCGCCGGACTCGGAGACAGCACCGGCAAGGAGGTTGGTGACGATTGCTGAGCGGCGTGTGTGGCTGGAAGCGGGTGTGGCGAGGGCGAAGATGAGTTGGGTGACTTTGCTGATTCCCGAGACGGGGTTGAGGTCGGTTTCCCCTAGGGCACGCACGCCCATTACTGAAAGGACAAGGGCGAGGAGGGTTGCAAGGCTGGATAAAAATGGGGTGATGATGCTTCCAAAGGCGACGTGCATGCATATGACGTTTAGTATGAGGGTTATTGGAAGCAAGATAACGATAGTCCGCATCGGGATAAGTTCTGAAGGGGGAGCATCATCTTCATCGTGGTCTTTCTTGCTGTCGGAGTTCTTATACTGTGTAGGGTCGCCCTGATTGATGGGAATATAGCCCTGGCTTGAATTCGAATTCCTGCTTAAAAGCTTCTTCCAAAACCCCTGCTCGCTAGTTCGATGACGGATCGCATGAACCGCACCCGGCCCATAGTGGACTATAGGCCTGAGTACCAGCCATCCTAGGTTCATGACTGAGTCGGCCAGCATGATAGCGAGCGATACCCAAACGATCCAGCCCTTGCTTCCATTCTCCCAGTTACCCACTGGACCTGGTGCCCATCCTTTGTTTTTAGCCAAAGGAGACAGGACTCCCCATCCAATAACGGCCCCAACTAACATGTGGAACGAGGTAGATGAGCCCATGATGATACCTTGTCCAACGTATGCCGGGGATGGGTTCAAAGTCCAGAGCCATTTGCTCGCAAGTGTCAAACCGAAAATGGGTAGATTGCGAAGCAATGGGATGAAATACGAGAGAAGTGTCTAGTCAACGGTCAATATAATCTGCCTTTCCCCAAGAAGTGCCCAGTAGTTTGCCTGAAGCTAAACTGGGCTGCACTCACATAGAAAGCGGATATTCCAAAGGCAAAAACCAAAAGCCTTATTTTCCCTTTCCAATCCTGCCTATGATCATGGCCAATTGACGATCTTGGAACTTCAGTGGCTGCAGGCTCATTAACGAGCAGCCTTTCCGTTTCCTGGTATTCCACATTCGAGCTTCCAGCGTCTTTCGCCTTTTCACCATCTTGCCCACTGCCATGCAAAACCCTGATCATCAACGCCGTTGCCGTTCCACTCGGGAACTTCAACTTTTCCCTCACTATAACCTCTTTCCTCAACGGTACCGCAAACACCACACCGAACAGGCACACTCCGAGACTCCAAACCACCAGTTTCCAGAATCCCAGCTTCAATGGCCCTCCCTCGCCCTGCCCATCATCCCCACCCATCTCTCCATCCGGCCCATCCCGAAGTAAGAATTCCAGCGCCGGGACCACACCGACAAAGCCACATCCAAGCGGCATAGTCCCCACTGCGCCCGCAACAGTCTGAATGAGCACGTTCTCAATGGGACTAAACGGAAACGAAAGGTAGGGGGCCAGAGTTTTGAATACTGCGAACCCGATCAGGGACGATGGCATGGCCATGGTACTGATCCAGCCAGTTTGAAGACCGAAATAGGTATTTGAAAAGGTTATGAGGGTGCCGATAGCGAGGCCGACGATGAGGGAACGGGGAGTGAAGCTCTGCGAGGATGTCTTCGGTGGGGAGGAGAGTAGGCCTGATGGCGCATTATCGGAGTCGTCATGATCGTAAAGCTCTTGGTCCGGTCGCTGAGAGCTCCCTGATGGCTCTGGTGCGAGATTGCTCATCCTAGGAGCCGCCTGGACGTGAAGCCCTTGGCTGGACGACTCGGGTATCATGCTGATTGGGATATTGCACTTTGCTTCAGCGCACCCATCCAAGATTCTGCTACCGATGCCTTCGAGGTCCGTTAGAGAGAATCATATCCCAGCCCATCTACCATTTCATCGCAAAAGAAGGGGTTGAAGAACCCCATTTCTCCATCCATCGCGGTGATTGAAGCGAGAACCGGGATGACTAATGCATGGATGGTTTGACGCTGAAGATAAGATAAGATCTCAGCTCACATGATCGGTAGCAAGCTACATGACGTCATGTCGCGACTAGCCTAATTCGGGTATCCGACCCGGGAGTGTAGTTCGTGGCTTATCAATGGGATGACTTTATCAGGAACCGAATAGATGGCTGTGGTGGTAAATACAGATAATATGCTATACACAGGAATTGAAAATCGTAGATCCTGACAGAAAATCTCCATCCCTTCTAAACGCCAGTGAAAATGGGCAGGACAACCACAAATGCAGCAAGAACCCCCCCTTGTGTTAAAACCCAAAACTGTCTAGCAAAGAACTCGTATCTGGCTCCTCAAACGTAGTCGGCGGAGGCTGCGTACCATGCGCGGCACGTGCTTGCTTATCCGCGACGTCTGTGGCTGCCTTCCTTATCTCCTCCTGTAAGCCGGGAGATAAATGCATATCTGCAACGACTAAACTGCTTCTTCGTTTAAGCAGTTTATTAGGGTTTGGCACATTCTCTAACAGCCCTATCGACAGCCGTGACGGGAGTGTTTCGACAAGAGGAGGTCTCAAGAACTCCCAGTTACGAACAAGACTCAGGGCTAATAAGTCGCAACCCATCCTGTCGTAAAGCCGCGCATTTCGAATCACAAATTCCCACTCGTCCCGGGCGGCAACCTTTGAGGCACCCTTGAGGGTTTGGAGCGTCTTTTCCCGAAGTTGTTCGTATAAAACAACGAGAGCTGGGTCATTGGATAGATAGGATCTGGCATGAAGGGAGACACCAGTAGAACTACCTGGGGAGCCAGGCGTGGGAGGCAAAAGAGTTTCGACAGGGGACTAGACAATATTAGCCACTGATACATTCTCAGTATCTTCAAAACTCACTATCAGCGCGCGTACGGCCATATCTCGCCTATTTAGCATCCAAAACGCCCAGGATGCCATCCACCTGTTGCCGTCTGTAGCCGCAGCCACAAGAATATGTTCTTCTAGAATTTCTTTGAGTACCGGCCCGTCATCACCTTCATATGCACGTGCAATAGTAATAGCAAGTTGAATATCTTTTAGCTGGTTTATACACACGTTTACAGCGTCTCGTAGGTGGTCTGCCAAAAGGAAGAATGCTGCCGCGTACTCTGCATGGTAGTTAGTGTAAGCTCTTATTCATTCAAATATGAGTAGCATACCAAATCTTCGTCGGCCAAGCAAAGCATATGCGTTTTTCAGAGCCGCTGACTGCCAACGCGGCTCTTTGAAATTATTCGACAGGAGCCGATATGTTGCCGCTTGTTCACGGTGCCAATTTGCCATACGCCAAAGGCCTTGCAGAATGTTCTTCTTCTTAAGGGCCAAATAATATAAGCTGCAGTCGATTGGATTTCTTTCATCCGTCTTTCCATATTCATTACGTGCAATAACTTCGAGTTGTGTTCGCTATTATAACTCAGCACAGTCCTTGAAACTTTAAAGAGTAATGAGTGCGTACCAATGTATTGATGTCAGTAATCCACATGAATAGACCGCTCTCACGGGCATTCTCCCAAAGCATCCTGCCATTATATTGTCGAGAAACTAGGTCAGCAAGGATTTCGTGACTGTCGCTATGAAAGGCCCAAACGATTTCGCGCCATGAGATATTAGAAACCTCTGGTAGTTTCTGACTTCGTCTGATCATATGCTGTCTGAAAAATAAAAGGTATCGTGCTGCATTGTCGTCCATAGAACGACGGTGTTTCTCAACGGTAGCAACGCATTCCACGATGTTCACTAGGCGAAACTGTTCCGTGCTTGATAACTGCGCAAGAACGATGCGCGACAGGTATTCGTTGAGCGACGCGGCAACGGTCTCATCGACTACATGTGGCTCGGCTTCAAACGAGTAGTCCGTACTGGACGAATGCATTTCCTTCCACGTCATATGCTGGAACATCTATGGCCACAGTTAGTTTCGAAATTCAGCTGTAGGATGCGTGCTGGGGGTCTTTACGTCAGGGTCCTCATAAAATCGATCAAGAGTTATATCCAAGAATCCGTCAATATCATCGCCTTCTGTGTAGAATTTTAACTTATGGTGAAGGCTAGTGAGGATCAAGTGTACCAAACTAGTTTTCCCGCAAAGAATACACTGAGCGAGGAACTGAGGGTGAAACACAGGTAACGGGCCATTGAGCCGGCTAACAAAGTGGAATAAATCAACATAGGCGGATTTATGTGATGGGATACGAAGGCCGGTAACAATCGGATGGCTTGCTTCAATGTATTTATCGAATACAAACAGCTGATTACCAGCTCCAACCACTAGATTTCCGTTGCCTAGCCAGCAGGAGTCGCCAATAGGGTGTGGTGTAAGATCTTGCATTCGGATCTCTCTGATTTGGGCCCAAGAAGGGCCTGCATCGAGATAATCGTATCGTAGTTGGGAAAGGAGGACCACCTTCCTTGGGAACCCAACGGCAAGTATGAATTGAGCATCGGGAGTGCATGTCCAGTCGAGGTCTTGGATAATATCATGCTGTGGAAAGTGCTCTTCAAACTCTAGCTGTGCCCCGTTTGTGTCCCATATACTTAGATGGGTCCGATTTTGGTCAATAAGTGCAGCCTTGCGCATCGACGTTGCGCTTGCAAGGGAAGGGTTAACGATTCCCGTTTCAACAGTGGACGTCAATAGCCACTCAATTTTTTGATTTTGTTTGTCGACTTTGGCAGTCCATGTTCTGACCGTTCCACTGTGGGTATAAGATAGGGCGATGTCCGTGGCAAAGAGATCGAGGAAGCCAGATGTTTTCACTCGGCTCCCGGCCGGGTCGACGGGAATGATATACGAAACATCCTCCTTCACGCCAAGGTTAAACATACAAAATTGACGTAAGTATTTGCGGTTCCCATTCACGCCATTGACATGGCTGTGGTTTCCGGGAAGATCGATTTCCCACGCAATTCCAGCCATATCGACCCCGATGGCTGCTATATACACTGTTGAGGGTTCGATATCCGTAGTTGGTACGAACAAGACGCATAATGGCTTGCTGCTCAATTGAAAATCACACTGATCGAGGAGAGTTCCATGAAATGAACGGACATCCCAAAGAGAAATGCCGTTGTGGTGCAAATTAACCAAAAATTTCCCATCATCCAGCAAAAACGTTCGATGGATGTGTAGATCTGACAGAAGAGAACTTTGTTGTACAAGAACGGAACCGGTACTGGAGGAGCGCTGCCGCCAAATCATTGCCTTATTATCATCCGTACGGGAAATCAACATCTTGCCAACAGGCGTACGAACAATTTTCTTCACTGCTCCCCCGTGGCCTGACCAAATCGCCCTCGAAATCAGTCTCTTTTTCCTGGGAGTCGGATCAAAAAGGGTATGTATCTTAGAATCCAGCCATTCGATCCGCCCGTCAAAGTAATGAGCCAGAATTGTAAAGGAATCATCGAATACACCCCCCGCGAAAGAATAAAATCGAGCATAATCCTCACGGGGAAGAACTCCCGAAGGAAGCGACAAGTGCAGCCCTTCAACATGGGCGATATTGAAGATGTTTGCAGGTGACCGGACTTTGCAGCCCACGTTCTCAAGCCCCCAGGCGCACATATGTCCTCTACCATCGAGGACGACACAAATTTCAGGAACTTTCGCGGCAACTTCGAGAAGGTGTTCGAGGGCAGGGTGGTTTTTATCTTTCGAGTCTCCGCACTGCACAGCGCGTTCCATGGCTTTCGCAAAATCCCGACTATCGATGATGAACCCATAGCGTCTCATTGCCTCATTTGATGGCAATGGGTTCCTGGGCTGAATAGAGGCCGCCATGTCAATTTCGTTCCAAAGTTGAAGCACAGATAAGCCATGACGTTCCATTGGAGCCCATATCCGTATCTTATTGTCCGCGCAGATAGTATATAGCACATTGTCCATGGTTTGTTCCCGGTGATGCGGAAGCCTCCAATGCATTCCGGTTACAGCTGTGGGATGGGACAGGTACGATACATCGAAACGGACGTCATCAGCTACGAAGGAGCGCCGCCTCCATATCTTGACAAGTCGATCGTACTCGGCCGTGGACGCTATTAACGCTGCATCAGGGGAGAGACACGCATACTTCACCGGGCTTCCTAGTTCGGTTGTCCAGGTAGCACGCGGAGAGTCCGTAAGAAGCCATAACGTAAGTCGGTGGTTGCCCACGAGGAGCTCATCGGAGGAGCCCCAAGACAGGGTTCTAATCGGGTCTTGCCCATTCTCGTACGGTCGAAAACTGCACGCTAAACTCCACTATCTATCAATTAGGGGCACTCTCCTAATCACGAACCCTTGACGGCTGGGGAGCGAGGTGTCGAACCTTGGGTTTATCATCTCCGATCACGTACGGTTGGTAGACAGAAACATCCAGTCCGCTGCACACTGCAATCTTCCCAGTAGACTCTTCAATTGCCACCGCCTCAAGTAGATCCGTATCATCCAAGTAAATAGTTTGTAGGAGCTGGTGTGGCCCGTCAAGGATCACAAGCGCACGGCCGGAAATGTATGCCTAAATCCAAGTCCGCACGGAAACAAATCAGTGCCGTTCCAATCTATTGCGCGAAACAAAGGATGAGGAAGTAGTGGAACGCGCTCGGCTTACAACAATGCGACGACCATCCCAGAGCGCGGTGCTGAGAGCTTGGAGCTTCGCTGGAGGTCGCCCCGGCAGTACGGTCCGCATGGGAACACTCGAGAGACGGCAGGCTGAACCGCCGGCGTCAGATCATTGTCGATATGCTATGCGTATTAGAATGCAAAACAGTAACAGGGACCTTCAAAATGTATGGATGTTAAGGTTGTTGCAGTTGCATTGTTCTCCCAAGCAAATAACGAACTCGCTGTCCGTTGAAACGTTGTGATCGCGATGACGTCCATCAGGAGAACGCGTGACAGAATTGCTATGAACTACCTATTGAGTTAACAGCGCTCCACACACCAAACACACTAATAACTATCACAGTTGCCTAGAGGTCTACTAGTTGATCTGGTGACTGTTCAGATGACTGGCATGCATCTTGCTCTTGATTTCAAAAAGGAAATAATTGTCTCCAAAGGCTAACAATGCTGTCAGATACAAATAAATCACAGCAGTATCGCAATAGATATGCTACTCTTTTAGCCCAAACGCCAGGCATCAGGATTCATCAATTCATACAGCCCGTAAAAGGAATCCAACGATATACCAAACAATCCGTACCAATTATCCAATACCCAATCCACCCACCAAAACTGAAACGCGATGAAGGTTTTAAGACGGGGCGCTATACAGAGGGAAAGAGGAACAAAGCAAAGTAAATGATTAGACGAAAGCCACGAATGACTAGGTTGGCCTGCGGCTGTTTGTCGACCTGCCTTCAGTCGGTGACTCCGGCTCTGACTCTTCTTCTATCGCAAAACGCACGTTCGTTGCCAGGGGACTCCGTGCGTAAAGAGTTCTGCGCCCCGGAAGTGATCGGGGAGAGTCCCTTGCGGCCAGTAATCTGACAGCGAACGGCGTTATTGCAGGTGTCGCTGGGGTGGTGGATATCTGATGCAAGGAGCGCGCTCGTGCAGCCCGTTTAGAGGGACTTGTCAAATATCCAGGCACTGGGGTGTGAGACGTAAGATCAATTTCCGGACCAAGATCACTGATTCGGAGTGTTGACTCTGGATTTCGCCATTCATCCGGTTCTTCATAGTGTTGCAAGTCATAATGCGGCCTGGGAGTGGTAAATTGTGCTGTAGCACTGTCCTTAGCCACATGCAAAGCTCTTGTCTTCTCGATCCAGTGATATAACATATTTCGAAGGTGTTTTCGCAAAATACGGTCATTCGCCGCCTCAGCCTTTTCATAATCAGTCCTGACCTGGAACACCCGCAAGCTGAGCTTTTTGAGCTGGCTGAGCGCTACGGAAGCGACGTGTAGATCCAGAAACCGCGCAGCATTTTCCTCTTGCGACTGGTATAGTCTATACGAAGTCGCCCAATGGCTAAGGTGATCGTATGTCAACTGGCGGTTGTAAAAAATATCTGCATCGGATATCTGTTTAAAACGGTTCACGGTCTCAGAGTGCCAGTGCTCGAACAGAACAGTTGCCTTTTTGATCAGCTTTTGTTTATACACCTCCGTGGCTTGTTGGTCTAAATCTGCAACAGCTGCACGACGAGCTCGCCAAATAGACAGCGCGTCTGACACCAGATTTATTTTCACCTTTCGTCTAATCATAGAGTAAGCATCTTGTTTCCGCTTCTTAGCCGTCTGTTGGGTAATTGCCCGCCATTTTTTGAGTGCTTTGGTCATCAGGAAGAAATAGCGCGCGTTTTTCGCCCAAGTCTCCAGTTTGATGTATAGACTTCGACGTTCATTCCATCTAACCAGAGCCTCATGTTCAACACGAGGCGCATAAAAAGCCAACGCGATGCGCTCCCGCTGCCCTTGAATAGCAAGCTTCTCCCGCCAGTGATGAAATATAGTCCGGGCAAACTCTTGCTTCCTGTGATGGCGAAATTCCTCCCCTCGACGCAATAATCGGGTATACAAATCACTAGAATTATCCATTAATTTTGTCAACATCGTTCGTTTCAGTCTCCGATCTCTAATCCGAGTCATAAAGCGAAGTCGTTCCATTAAGACCCATTTATAGAGCGATTGCATAATAATACGCCCGTCAATCCGCCTCGTCAGGGCACGGCAGCGCAACCTGTCGTTCCACGCTGTCCAGGCATTGTGGATGACTCTTTGACGGTCCGCATCTCGTGCGAGCCGCTCTATATAAGCTTTGTAGGCCCACATGTCAAAAGAGAAACGCATGATTCTAGTGTTCATCATGGTTGTTACCCTGGCAGAAGCTGTTCCAAGGTTATGTTGAATGCGCCATTCGGTGAAATTGTTTCTCATCAGATGTTCTAGTCGCCAATTGTCCGCATCTTGTTGGGCTATGGAAACCGAACGGGCTTTCTGACACCATTTTTGTAGTACGGAGCTGAGCAAGGCTTGCTTGCGTTTGGAGTCGACCTCATTGTCGCGTTCTCTGTGGTTTCTGAACGCCCGAAGCCAAGATATCAATGATCGCTGTTTTACTCGGTGATCTGCCCGCTGAGGTGCCATGCGGTAACAGAATGACCAAAACCATGTCCAATACATGCGCTTCACCAAATTAGCATGGTACAACTCATCTGCCATAACCTCGTCGTTTCTGATTTTTTCGAGCCGCAGTCTCAGCAAAACAAATGGCCTTTTTACAGCAAAGCGCTGAATCTTAAGCTCATTTACTGCGGTTACCTCCCTCCAAGCATTGAAGTATTTGATACCGAGAATATGGCGCCGTGCTGCATTAGTCTTTTCAACCTCATCAGAAGCAACCTGCGCCCAATGAGTAAATGCTTTAGTTAGTAAGTATAGATCTCGCGCGCGGGCGGCTCGTGCTTCCAGATGTTTGAAAAATCGTTCTGTATGAGCTTTTTGCCGCTTTTTTTCCAAACTAGATCGCCACTCGTCAAGTGCTTGTTGAAGGAGGGTCGCCCTGTCTCGATTGAGGGCGACTTGATATATAGCCTGAACAAATTGCTGTCTATGGCGTGTTCGTTCTCGCCATCGTGCGAGTAACTGTCGTGCAACCCTTCTTTCTCGATATGCATTGAATACCGAAGCATCGAAGAGCAGGTTCGAAAGAGACGGTTGATAGAATAGCTCCGGAGGGACAGAGAGTTTAGGAATGTTATCGTCAGAAAGATCGGATTCGGACTCCTCGTCATCGTCCGATAAATGTTGTCGTTTCCCGGCCGGTATCCCATGTTCTTCCTGATGGTCCACTATACCAGTCGTTAGATGTTGGGCTTGATCCATACCATGGAAACCGTCGACCCTATGCGATTCGAAGCTTTGATGAAACGAGCTAGGATCATCAATCGTGTTCAGCGAAGCCCTTCTTTTGCGTCGCGGCGCAATCACTCCGCTCGCTTCTATGTCCAACCTCGACATGGATGATCTGGAGGGCGGTCTGTTAGCGTTCCCGTGAATAGTCTCCGTTGGCGCATCGTACATCGAATTGAAAGAGGCTCGCCGCGGCCTTCTCTTGTGGACGCCGTTGGGCTGTTGGGGTAATTCATTCGCTTCGAAACCGACTTCTGTTTTACTTTCCGGCTCCACATACGATAACCCATTCGCGTTCGTCGTTGGATCGGTGCAAATCTGAATACCCATCTGTAAGAGGAGTGATTCGAAGCGTGTGTACAAGCCCTCCCCGCGCAGATGCTTGCCCAGCAAAAAGAGGAACCGGAGGCATATTTGATCCTGCTCGGGCTCGATCCCATTCTCTGACAATACCGTATGATATTCTTCGAAGAGGGCTCGGAACGTATGCTTATCGACGTCGGGATGCTGCTCTGCCCGCGTGACGATTTGGTAGAGGAGGTGCACATCTACAACACGACTATCAACATTGGCGCAGTTCAAGTAGAATCATCTTGTTGTGGAATTAACCTTGATCGCTGAGAGCCAATTGCTCAGCTGGAGCAATTTCGTGATTTATCGGGACTGGAGGCATCGAAAGCTCCGCGACATGAGGCGCGTTGTCTGCAGAATGCGACACGAAGTCATTGCGAGAGGGAAAAGGACAAAGGAGGGCGGAAACTGTGAAGCGAGTCCGGCATCACCCAGCAGGGTTCAAAAATAGCACACCAACATAAAATGAAATGAATACGCTTTCTCCAGCCCTTTGGCGAACGAAACCCCAGTCCGAAATGCTCGCTTTTCAGGAATGTTTTGTTGTTGCAGACTTCCCCCAGTAACACCAATGCCTTGCATTACATAATCTCCATAGTGCTTAATTCGCCCGTCGCTGGATGGATTCCTCCCGCCAGCAACACAAACCTGCAGAGACACTTGGGAGTGGGAGAAACATCAGAAGGGAGCTTGATTGACGCTACTGGAATGCCTGGGAGAACGAGGCCCATCGAGAAATTTGCGCAGGCTGCGGCACAGTGCTCAACAGAGGTGAGCCAGTTCCCACGTCTCCCCTTGAGGATCACCACGATTGACGTGACTTGTGAAGGCCACTGTGTATGGCAAATGTGTTCTCGCCGATTATAATGCCACTACAAAAGATATGTGCAAAAGGGAGTTTATGAAATTGAAGGATTGCTATTTGGTATTGAACCCTTCGATGCCTTCTCAAAGTACGCCCGCTAACTACTCAACACAGGCTGCTATGAAAAAGAAATAATCTTCCTATGTTGGACATTGTATTTATCAGATCACTCACTTCTACCCCGTAACAAGTTTTAATAGAAATAGAAACATTACATTGATATCTAATCAAACCGCTGGCACTGTAACAGAGAACTGCATCTAGAGCTTCATAGTCTAAGCAAGAATGTTGCCTTTTGGAACCTCCTGCACCTCCTCCAGATGATTCCTTCATCTTCACATCCGGGAATTTGGCTTCGACTCTGTCACCACATGCTTGTCAACTGGTCTGCGCAGTGCTTTTCGATACTCTCCGCCTGTGTTTCCAAACACTCACTGATCCCAACACTATCGGGTCGGAAAGAACACGGTATTCCATCTTGACGTCATCCGTAGGAACCAGTCCAGCCTTCTTTCGGAGCCTTTGAACGCGGTTGACAATTTCTCTGGTCAAGCCTTCATGGGCAAGCTCAGGGTACAAAGCGACATCAAGGATAATGAGAACATCGTCATCGGTATTAGTCTCGAAGTTTGAAGAGGTATCATCCTCTTTCAAACCTCGTTTAACCACCAAATCACCCTTGCTGAGTTCAATTCCATCAACTAACATCTTTCCATTAAGAACATAGCTTTTAACATCCTCGCTCGAGAGTAGTGGTAACGCCTTTTTCACCTTTTGCACATCCTTTTTCAGCTTCTTGCCAAGAACAGGCCAATCAGCTGTGGCCCTATATTGGACATTGTATTTTGCTTCGTCAGATGAGAGAACGAGATCGCGGACATTGAGTTCTTCGACAATATATTGCTCAAGTGACCGCACATCGTCGAGGTATTGAGGATCTTGGTGGACAACCACGAGGGTTTTCAGTGGCGTTTTAAGACCAATTGACCGGCGTTCACGCGAGACGCGAGCAAGTTCAATCACTCGCTGCATCCGCGCGACCCGCCTCTCCACAACTTCGTCGAACAGCTCTTCTCTAACCTCTGGGAAAGGCAAAAAGTGAACTGAACGGTTGTCCTCTCCTTGGAGCGACTTAGGAATGTGAGGAAGGAGGCGATGGTAGATGGTATCGGTAACAAATGGGGTGAAAGGCGCAAGTCCACGAACTAGAGTATACAACACTTCGAAGAGCGTGTTAAGCGCGTGTTTCGTATCCTCCAAACCGAGTTCGCCCTTCAGGCGTCTACGGTTAAACCTGATGTACCAGTTCGTTGTGTTATCAATCAACTCTAGAAGTCGCGGGACAACAGTATAAAGTCGATACCCGGCCATCTCCTCATTGACAAATTTAAGAAGGCTTTGGCAACTCGCTAGGATCCATCGATCCATGACGTTTGTGTTGGTCGCTTCCATGGATGGGTCGAAGACGTAATCGAGGTTTTCGACCTTCTTCAGAAGTACAACTTGGCCGTCGAAAAATTTATAACTGTTCCACAGAGGAAGAAGGACCTTCGCCACAACTTCCTTAACACCCACTTCTCTAAACCTCAGAGGCTCAGCGCGTACCACGGGAGAATTAATGAGGTACAATCGAAGAGCGTCCGACCCATACCGATCCATGATCAAGGTAGGGTCGGGATAATTCTTCAATCTCTTGGACATCTTCTTTCCATCTTCTGCAAGAACGATTCCGTTTACAACACAGTTTTTGAATGGCAGCTTTCCAAACAAATGGATACCTAGGACTGTAAGTGTGTAGAACCAGCCACGTGTTTGGTCTAGCCCCTCCGCGATGAAGTCACCAGGGAAAGAAGCATGAAACTCGTCTGCATTTTCGAAAGGGTAATGTTGAGAGGCATAGGGCATGCTCCCAGACTCAAACCAGCAATCAAAGATCTCTTCGACCCGGCGAAGCACACCTTTTCCCTGCCGGCTTGGAATGGTGATATGGTCGATCTTGTCACGGTGGAGATCCGTCAGTTCCCCAGTATAACCACTCAGTTCCTTTAATTCTTCTACACTTCCAATAGGGACGATCTCTTCATAATCCTCGCTGACCCAAAGAGGGATGGGGGTGCCCCAGAAACGGTTTCTTGAAATGTTCCAGTCCCTGGCGTTTGAAATCCAACTGGCGAATCGCCTATCTTTCACAAAAGATGGCACCCAATACGAATCTTCAATCCCTTTGAGCATATCGGGGATTATAGGCCCAATTTTCACAAACCAAGCTGGAACTGCCTTGTAGATCAATGGGGTATCAGATCGCCAGCAAAAGGGGTAGCTATGGGTGATCTGACTGTCGACAACAATACGGCCCGCTTCTTTTAGATGTTTGATGATTGCCTTATCTGCTGTCTTTACATGAACTCCAGCAAAATCGCGAACCTCAGAGGTAAAGCATCCGCGGTTATCGACTGGATTGGGTGGTAATTTCCGGTCCGTGATGATGCCTGCTTTTAGGGCAACATTATAATCTTCTTCACCAAAAGCAGGCGCCTGGTGAACTATCCCAACACCGCTGTCTGCTGTGACATAGGTGGCCATCAATACCCTGAAGGCGATATCTTTGAATTTGTCATAAAAATAGTCAAACGGGGGTGTGTATTTCCATCCCTCCATCGTTGAACCCTTAAACCTGTCTAGGATCTTGAATTTCGCTTTTTTCGGGTTCTTATAAAGGGTTCCCAGCAATGCCTCCAATAGGATATAATCCTTGCCTGACTGTTCGTCATGGATCTTGATATACTCAAAATCCGGGTGCGCCGCAAGTCCAAGATGCGATGGAAGGGTCCACGGTGTAGTTGTCCATGCTAATAAGTTGGTCTGGGGGTCATCAATAAGGGGAAACGAGACGACAATGGCGGGATCCTGGACGTCCTGATAATTCTGCGATGCTTCGAAGTTGCTCAATGGTGTATTTAAGGCTGTAGAGAATGGCATGACTCTATATCCGCGGTAAACCAGTCCTTTATCGTATAGCTTTTTGAAGATCCACCACTCAGATTCCATGTAAGTGGTATCCATTGTCTTGAGCGTGTTAGTTGCATGGTGATGGAAAAGCATGGTATCGGGATAATTCACCTTATAATCATTATCAAAATCAATCCAACGGCCAAGCCTATCAATCGTCTGCCTCCATTCCGAAGCATATCTCATAACAATTGCCCTGCATTTGGCATTGTATTCCGCAAGACCGAGTTTTTCGACTGCCTCGGATCCGGACATTCCCAGGGATTTGTCAATCTCATATTCAATCGGCACCCCGTGTGTATCCCAGCCAAATCGCCTCTCGACGTAGTGGCCTTTCATCGACCAATATCTAGGAATAATGTCTTTGATTGTCGAGGCCAGCAGATGGCCATAGTGGGGTAGGCCAGTCGCGAAGGGAGGTCCATCGTAGAAGGTATAGGGCTTTCTACCGCGAGATAGCTCAACTTGACGTTCGAAAGCGCCGATTTCCTTCCAGCGTTTGAGGACAGCCTCCTCTTCTTTGGGGAAATCGATCGACATGATCCCTGGGCTCCTTGGGCGAACGTCCTGTGTGTGCAGAACTGAGATCGAGGGGCAGGAATTATGGAGGGGAGCCAGTTAAGCAATCTTTCTGAACTGCAATGATGACTCAGAGGTCCGCCATATCTTTTCTCCGGGAGCGAATTAACCTTCTCCCTAGGTATACCTTATGTAACTCTCCGTACGGAGTACGGAGTCAGGCATTGAATTAGGCGCTTACGGGA